GAAATTTGCATTTGAGAGTGAAAAAGTTCTGTAATTATGTATGACTCAAAAGGATTCTGCACAGCAAGTTTAAATGCAGTGATGAATTCAATAAACTACTGGGAAACCTTTTGTGTGTGTACCTGACACTGTTTCAGCGCTGGCCATCTCCAGTTGCTGCTTCAGAAAATGCCCAAAGACATCAAGTGAGATGCTCCATATTGCAGTTACACATGGTAAGTCCTTGATGGGGAAAATAACCCACCACGAATGATATAGGCTTCAGGCAATAGTCTGTCTTCCTAAGGAACTGGGAAAGACTGTGAGAGAATACAGCTTCTGCGTTAAGGATCTGGAAAGTGAAGCAGGTTAGACTATTGCAAGAGTCCTGGAAGAGGGCAAGGGAGCAGTGATAACGTGTGTACCCAGTCGGTGCACCACTGGGTGGGGGAGATGACCTTCCGGGCTAGGTGAAGACAAAGAGTGACAGGTGTAAGAGGTCAGTCCCTGTAGGTTCAAGGCATTGCAGAACAGAATCGAATAATAATAATAATAAAAACCTCTTGGCAAAAATGAGTCTTGAGAGCCTTGTTTAGATCATGGAAGCCTGGCTGGATGAGCAGATAGCTCATGGAAACCACAGGAAATGAAATTAGTCTGATACTAAAGTCCTCCCAAACATTCTTTAAAAGTGAAACAAAATAAAATTAGCAAACTAAAAAGCTGCCAGGGAATTGTCATTGTTTTCATATGTAGGAAAGATAGTGGTTGGGCAGACTAAACAACTTGCTTCATGAAAGCTTTTAGCAGCCAAGATCGGAAGCCTGTCCCTGCCTGGCTGCAAAGGCAGTGCTCATCTCCAGCCTTCAAGGAGTTAAACGGTGCTAGGGACGGGAGAGGGGTAACCCAAAGATGAAGAGGAGAGAGGAAATTGGGGGAGGTGAAATTATCTTCAAAGACACCAACCGAAAACTTTATTCCCCACTCCTGAGTTTTCCAAAGTGAAGTGAGCAGTCTCCCTGGCTTTGGCTTCATGAATAGAGACGGAAACTTTGACTATTGGATAGAACTCTACAAAATACCAGACGCTATATTTGAACAGAGCTGCTCTGGGTAAACAAATTACACTTAAAACAAAAAATACAGACCGAGCCTCTGGGAGACCACAGCAGTTCTACAGAAAATATTTCAAAATAAGAGGGAAAATACGATTCATAAATACGCTTTCATGTTTAATCAGGATACAAGTTCAAATTAGCTCAGATGTCATATTTTTATAGTGGGGAGCAGAAAGAAAGGAAACTTCAATATTAACCTGTAATTGACAATGCAGCTAAAGAAACAATTTTCAATCAGTAGGTTCATTTCAGCTCTGTATCTGGGTCATTAGCATAACAAGGAGAGACATGGTTACCCATTAAATACTGCTGTACTTTTGGAAGATTATCTAGGATTCCAATGTTTTCATCGTGTTCATTGGGTGACTTTTTCCTTTTCAAATGAGTGTAGACAGAATGGTTTTTAAAAGACTTTGAAATTTACTCACTGTACTAGGAATTGTATGCATGTCAGGAGTGGAATTAGATTTTCCCATTTGCTCTGTGGCCATGAAAAACACAGCAGCTTCTCCCAAGGTCTGCTAAAACACAAGCTGTAACCCAGCTAGGGGGCTAAGTGTGTATTGTGTGTAAGCAATGTGTCTGTGCAGGGACACACGTACACCTGTATGAATGCTTGTTCACGGTTTAACAATCAATTATGGAATGTTTAAAAAGATACTTTTAGACTATAAAGCTGAGTTAGGCATTTTTCCAGAAAATGCAGATATTAACATGTTATACACTTATAAAACATAATACACTTGTTATACATTTATCTTGTATATGTTTCATAGTACATTAAACTACTTATTTAAAAAAGATTTATTCATTTATTTGAAAGTCAAGCTTACAGAGAGAGAGAGACAGAGACAAAGATCTTCCATGCATTGGTTCAATCTCCCATTGACAGTAACGGCTGGGGCTGGGCCAGGCCGAAGCCAGAAGCCAGAAACTTCCTGCAGGATCCCCAGGTGGGTGGCAGGGTGCCAAGTGCTTGCGTCATCTTATGCTGCTTCTCCCAGGCCACTGGGAGCTGGATGTGAAGCGATGCAGCCGACGCACGATCCTGCATGTATTTGGGATGCTGACATTTCAGGCAGTGTTTGTACCTGCCCTGCCAGGAGAACATCTGATCCACTTACTCGTGGATCAGACGTGCTGGGAAGTGTGGGGAAGCTTTGCCTGCTTTGCCTGCATGGGTTTTCTTTTACAGGCAAGCATAACGCTTGAGAGGTCTGAGCGCGCATGTTGATGATTCTGAACAACTTTAAAGCCCAATACAGATGTGAAATGACCCGATCTACATGTAAAATTTGATGCCTGTACTTTGTGTTTATTATTCCATCTCTTTCTTTTTTCCCCCTGCTACTTTGTAAGAGTTGAGCTAGTGGCAGCCATCTTGCTGCAGGTTTGGGTTTATTATCCAATATAACCATGTTTTAATTACTTACAGTATTCCTGCTTCTGGAGCTGGGCAGCTTCTCCCTCCCTTTCCCTAAACCCCATACATCTTTCCCTCCGTCATTCAGTTACTAACTGCTATCTGACATACTTCCCATAATACTTATAACTTAAGAAGAACCCAAACCAACCAAACGAAACACTTGCCATTTCTCAAGCTTCTGTGGGCTGGTTGGTCTCAGCTGTGCAGGTCTGCACCACGTGACGTTGTCTGAAATCACTCTCGTGATCTCTTCAGCTGGGAGCTTAGCGGGAGCTGGCCCATGCTGCATGGTTGTGTTTGCATGTTTGGAGCCTCAGCTGGAGTGGCAAGCATGGCTGGGAGACAGGCAGGCCCCTGGTCCTCTGCACAGTTTCCTATTATCCAGTAGCCTACTCCAAGTTTCTTTGCATGGCGCTGATTCTTACGATGATGAGGTTTACAAGATAGCTTGACAGCTAGGCTTAGATGCTAAACAGCAGCACTCTATGGGTCAGAAGGCATGCCAGGGTCAGCAAAGAATCAAGAGTACAGATACTACCTCATGATTCCCAAGGTGGCAGAAACTCACAGCAAGGGGAGGAATTGTTAGTGGCCATGTTTCTGTATAACCCAATACTGCATATACACAAATGAAATCAATGAACTTGTGTGCTTCACAGTGGGTCCAATGAAAATTCTAAGGCTTTTCACAGATTTCACGTTTGGCAGGATTATGTCTTCCTTATGTGGGGGAACAATGCAGACTATAGTTCTGTAAGACATTCTGCACCAGTTGGCCAGGAAATAAATATTATTTTAATGTAAGCAAAAGCGAGGCTTTGAAGTGAAGCTCATGGGACTGGATCTTGGCTCTGTTAGGTCCTAAGGTGGGCGGTCCTTCGTTTCTCTCGCCTGAATTTGCAGGATTGTAAGGGTTAAGTACATTTAAAATGCTGACAAAGTCACAGCCAGATAGCACCTACGCAACAAACATTAGCCTATTTTCTGACCCAGTAGCAACCATTGGTTTACACTTTCTGGAACTGCAAATGTCTGTATTCTTACAAAACCTAATCATTAATCTCCATGACTATTTCTGCTTTCTGAGTCCCTGCCAAGCCCGAGGAGGAAGTATCCTCATGCTTTCACTGGTAGAACAACTGGCTAATGAAGTCTAAAGTGATTTCCCAACTTGAAAGTCATGCAACCCATATGAATAAGTATGGCTTACAACAGAACACAGCACACACAAGCACAGAGATCGGATATCAACACACTAGATTTCTGCACGGGAGCTGCTTCAGGCACACTGCTGCTTGGAGAACATGATGTGTGTTATGTATACTCACTCACAGAGCTGAAAGTTCTTTGGCAAACACAGACTGGCGTCAACTCAGAGGCTGCAAAAACCATCGCAGTTGCACACGGAGGCGGAAGGCAGGCATGGGTACCCGATATGGCGTTTTGTTTGGGTACCATGATAAAGGTATCTGCTTATTTTGCAGTCAGATGTGACGTAGGCTGTACTTTACTACCTCCTAATTCTGAACAAACGGTCTCAACTCTGTTTTGGTGTCTTGGTCTCTTGATTGGTCAGTTGTATGCAGCTAACATCTGCTCTGAATCCTGAGTATCCAGTGAGGATACGTCCATGAAGGCCCAGGCATGGGTTTGACTTATGGAAGACACTCGGAACGCGTCTCTTGCTTCCTCTCTCTAACCAGGGATTGCACATTCCAGACTCCATCGCGGTCACCAGGCGGTGTGTCTTAAGAATATCCTAGGTAAGATTTGATGAGATATCTGCCATCATCAAACCCCACCATTTAATGCAAGATAGGATGCTGGGACCATCTGCCTAATACAGTTCATAAAAGCTACTAACCATCTGAAGCATGTTATCATTTTGATTTTGTGTTTTCAGGTCTGGTATGTAAAGTATGTTTTAGTCTTCTGCGTAGGAACACGGAATGAAAAAAAAAAAACCTCCCAATAGAGGAGAAACACAATTTTTACCTCGTTGGTAATAATTTAAACAAAAACGAAGCACAACATGCAAGTTTCGCTTTCCTCTTCAGGTCACAAAAATCCGAGCTTGCCACCTCTGTGTCACACACCCAATGGTCTCAAGGACGAGCCTGGGCATTTAAAAATGTCTGTGTTTATGGCTGCGATTGCGCTGTGCATCACACCTTCTCCCCTCCTCCCCACCCGCCCACCAGCTGGGGGTGCTGCCCCGCTGCAGGCAGCGGTCGGGCAGGCCCCACGTGGCAGGTCCAGCCGGCTCCGGGCAGGGTCCAGCGGGGCGGACACGCAGAGCCCGCCCCTCGGCTCCCGCCCCGTCCCCGGGCAGGCCGGGCGCCCGCTCGGTCCTCCACCGCCAGGGGGCAGGCGCGGCCTCGCGGCGGCCGGGGCTCATTGGTGGCGGCGAGGGAAGCGTGGGCGGAGGCCCCGGAGGCGCGCTGGCTTCCTCCTGGCCGCTCGCGGGGTGAGGGCAGGCCGAGGGAGCCCACGGAGCCCGACGGAGCCCGACGGAGCCGATCGGAGCGGCGGCGGCGCGAGCTGGAGGCGGCCGGCCCGTGTTCGTCGGCCTCCGGCTCAACTGACCGCGGGCAGGCCCGCCGGAGACGGGCGGGCGGGAGGCTCGGTGAGCCGGGCACGGAGGGCGGGATGGATGGAGGACCGGGGCCGCCGGACACCCCTGCGCCTTCCTGCTCCGGGCGCCCGCGGGGGTCCCGGCCGGCCGGCGTGGGGCGTGGGGCGGCCCGGCGTGGCCCGAGGGGCCGGGCAGGGCCCTGGGCGCCGTGGGCCGAGCCCCGGCCCTGGGCATCGGCTGCTGGCCGGGCGCCCCCGGGGCTGGCGCGGGATGGGGCGGCGTCCTCACCTGGCGCCCCGGGAGGGACCCGGTCCCAGGCGGCCTCCGGAGCGCGCCTGTCGGCGTGGGGTGGGCCGAAAGCCCGGAGGATGGAGCCCGACTGTGGGCGCTGAACTCTGCCGGGGTGGGACTCCTGTCGACTCCACTTGTAAAGTTTGGTGTCTGCCCAGTCGGAGGTACTTTTGTGTTTTGCAGAGTTCCCCCCCCTTGGCGCCTGCTGTCACTGATGAAAGTGCTCTCTCTGCGCTTTCTCCCTTGGCTCTCAGCATCGCGGTTCTGCACCACGTGTGGCCCAGGAGCTTCCTTAGGTCTACAGAGGAGGCCTGACACGTTGAAGGTTTAGTCTGTCTGTCCCGGGTTTTCAGATGACAAGATGGGACTCATGCTGAGAGCGGGTTCCCAGACACCTTGGACCTAGAGGGCCACGTTTGGGGCAATATGCTGATGTCCAGCCAGTGCCATGTGGAGTACAGATTGCCTGGTTAGGTTAGGAAGCGGCAGATAGTAATGAATGCCGTTCAAGAAGGAGTTGGCGGAGTCGAAGTTCAGCATCTGACTTTGCCCTGGTCGTTGACCTGGCTGTCCACTTCCTAGAGACCAGCACCAGAGCTCATTTACCAAGTGGCTGCACTTTTTTCTTTTCCTGTTTTCTATATAGGTTTGGCCAGCTTGGCTTGATAGGTTCGTGCAGTATTATCTAAGCTCACTAAAGGCCAGCGTTGCTATATAGGAAGACAGAAGTGGACCTTTGGGGACCTGCGAACTTGATGCACGGAGACAGGGTCCCTGCAGCCCCCCGCTGTATTCCAGGTGTACGTTTACATGTGGGTCCCGTAAGCCTTGCTGGCTATTTCATCCTTCATAATTCATGAAGGCATTGCGAAGAAAAATGTCCTTGGAGGGGATAATCAAAGAGTATAAAAAAAATTGGCTCAACAGCAAAAAAAGTAGTCTTACATTTTTCAGTATTTAGTGTCTTAAATTGTCAACCTTATTATTACTAGTACTATTATTATTTCACAGTCTTTAAAGTACAAAGTTTAGGCACCTTCCTGTATTACACAGCAATTAAAGATGACATGGAACCTGTGAATGAGACAACAACCTGTGGCATCACAGATTATTTTATTTTTCCCCCCTGTCCTTCCCCGCAAAAAAAAAAAAAGTGTGAAGACATAAAACTCCAGCTGACTCAGAGCTTTGTACAACAGCAAGTGGTTGTTTTGAGCTTAGTCCAGAGTCCTGTGGTGGCAATCAGATAGCTTAATAGCTTAGATCTTAAGCAGGTCTGGGTATTTAGTTACTTCCTGGATGGCACTGGCGGGGTTGCTCCGTTGTAGTACCAGGGGACATGGGGCCACATGGTCTTCCAAGTTCTTCACTCTTACAGTTTTTGTGGTTCATTTTTCTTTTTTTAAAACACACTGAAATCAAATCAGCTGATTCTCATGAGAAGCGTGAGTGTTGTAATAAGACTCCACAGTGTGCCCAGTTAGTGCCTCATTCTCTTCCTCTTCGGCCTGTTAGGATGGTTGGGAACACTTGTTAGAGTTCTTAGAATTTTTTTCCCTAGCCTCTTTTTTTATTCATAATTTTTCTGACTTCACTTTAATAAGTTTTTGCTTTTCCAAATTGCGGTTTTTCAATTCAGCTTAATTCATGCAACATGGGAATTTACCATTTTAAAATGTACCATCCAGGAGATGTAAATTAATTTTTAATGTCACCCCGAGAAGGAACCACTCCCCTCCCTCACCTGCCCCTTGTTCTCTCCATAGCCTTTGGCCACCACCATCCTGCGTTCGGCCTCATGGGTTTAATTAAACCTTCTGGATATTTCATAAGAATGGAATTGTGTTGTGCATGTTCTTGTAGGTGTGGTTTCTCTAAGCCTAGTGTTTTAGGGATGCTTGCAGCAAGTTGCAACACATCCTTCCTTTTTTATGGCTGAATAATGTCCCAGTTTATATTCCATCCTCTCCAACATGCCGCATCCCTTGATGAACCCTGGTGACTTCCTGTGTGCTATAAAGTCATACAAGCACTTCCAGTGAGTAAGAGGGCAGAGCTTAAATTGAATTTCATTATGGATGCCACAAAACTTGCTGAGGTGGTACCATAGTTCAGGCATGCCACCTGACAGGGTATGTTGCATTTCCGTAGTTATGTGGTCAGTGAGTATTGAAGGAGTTTTTGTCAACATAAAAATGGGAGCTTTTATTTGGTCATTCAGAACATTTTGGAGGCTAGTGGGACAGCAGATTGATGTGCCTACAACCCGCATAGGTGCCAGCCTGGTCCTGGTTTCTGGACTTCCGAGCTAGGTACCTGCTGATGCTCCTGAGAAGGCAACGGAAGCTAGACTAAGTATTTGGGATTCTGCTACCGCGTAAGATCCGAGAAGCTTCTGGCTCGCTGCTGGTTTTATAGTAGAAATAGTGTGCTAGTAGGTTCCCTCCCTTCCCTCTCTGCAGATGGAGTCCTTGCTTTTCTCTTCCTCACTTAGGCCTCTTTGACAAAATTCTGACTATTGTTTCATCTAGTTCCTTCATGGTTGACATGTTTACTTGAAGACCGGAAGTAGAATGGAAATGTAGAGAAATCATCCGTCTGTTCATTTGAGAGGCAGAGCAAGAGAGAGCGTCCATCAGCTGGTTTACTGCTCAGTAGCCTGCAGAGGCATGGCCTGGCCGGCCTGGGGCCAAGATCACAGTGCAGGTGTCCCACGAGAGTTGCAGAAAGTTGGTTACTGCACCCATCCCTTGCTGCCTGCCAGGATCTTCACTGGCTGGAAGCTGGAGTCCAGAGTTAGACCTGGAATCAAACCCAGGATGCAGGCAACTTCTGCCAGGTTCAGGGCTGCCTGTTGTAGGGGAACCGTTACATGTTGGTTCAGAGTGGGAAGCTGCAACTTCTCATCTGGTATAATTTAAAACAGGTGAGAGAAAGGTAGCGGTTTCCCTTGGTATGGATCTGTGCCTGCGTGTCTTATTTTTCTAGTAATTCATGAGCCGAACACCACCTCCTCCTCTGTCATTCTTCCTGTTAGTATCTCTGTGTCTCATTCTCTGTCTCTCCATCTCTCCCCGCGTGTTAACAGTGTAGAATTTGGGCAGTTCAGATTATAGCTTTTGAAACAGGTGGAGAACTCTAAGGGACCAGGCAATACTGGTTGTTATTTTGTAGGGTTCTATATTCTATTTTGGATGTGTTTGTGCTCTGGGTTACAGAAATCTAATCACCATGTCATTTCTTCATCTGGATTACAGCTTTCAAAGCAAAAATTCTGCCCTGGTGATTGAGAAAAACTGCAAGTAAACACAGGGGTAATTTTAGATCTAGGGCGCAATTTTAACCATTGCAAACACAAGTTCCTTCTTCCCCGTTCCTTATCACGTTTTCCCTACTCTGGTTCACCGCCTGCCTTTTCGTTTTTTACCCCACAGGAGACCGGGCCTGGGGTCGGGCTGGTTTCCTTGATAGGGAAGAAGGGGAATTCTCACCTCCGGGATGGTTGGCTTGTTGGTCGGTGTTTTTTGTTCTCTGGCCTCACTCCACCTTGGATCTGAGGCTCTGATATCCCAGTGTGAACAAGCTGTGAAATGAGTAGAGTTTTTGTCTCCACTTTTGGGGATTTGGATCCTCCAGGTGTATAGTTTACTCAGGAATTTGTATGTTAAGAAGCACGCTAGTAATTCAGTTCTCCATGCTGGCTGGCTTTTTAAGATACAACCTTACAGAATCTGTATTGGTAGTTTGCAGGATATACAATTATTTTATATGCTTTTAGAAATCTGCTTGAAACCTTATACCACATGGACATGGATTACAAGGAGGAAGCAATATACATCCTTTTTTTGGGCGGGGGAGTGGGAGTGGAAGGCAGATTTATAGAGAGGAGAGACAGAAAGATCTTCCATCCATTGATTCACTCCTCAGATGGCTTGCAGAGGCCCAAGGTGATCCAATCAGGAGCCAGGGGTTTCTTCAGTCCCAGGCTTTGGACCATCCTCCCCTGCTTTCACAGGCCACAAAGAGAGCTAGATCAGAAGTGAAACAGCTAGGATACAAACCAGTACCCTATGGGAGGCTAGTATTTGTAGGTCACGAATTACCTGTTGAGCTACCATCCCGGCCCCCCAGTATACATCTTAGGTAAATAGAACCTGTGTATTGGCAGGTTCAGCTTGGGAAGCACAGTGTGATATGCCCTAGATTACCCATGCATTCTCTCTGTTCCATTTCCACGTTGGTGGCTTAGTTCAGAAGTCTTGCTTCTAGCTTCCTTGCACCTTATAGTGTTTTGTAATTATAGTCTACTGAAATATTTATTCCACTTAACATGGACATCAGATACAGCATGGTCATCTGACTTCTTTTGTATGCAGCCTTTGTCTGCCAGCTCCCCGTCCTCCCCATACGTCGCAGCCATGGACCATCCTGTAGTGAGTATATTCAGGATGTGGTGGTGGTGGTCCGGTAGCTACCAGCTGTGTGGCGGTAAGCTTAACTCCGCCCTCCCACCTGGGCAAAATGCTGGGGTGGTGTGCTGGGTACTAAGTGAGGCTAGCTGTGGGATGGAACAGATCTTTCCCCCACTGCGGGTTTGTGGAACTCCTTTCCCTGGCGGAGAAAGTTGCTTAGCCGTCTTAGATCTGGGGAGATGGAGTGGAGCACAGGCCCACCTAGTTTCTCATCGCTTTTGCTTGGTGTGTCATAGTTTTTCCGAAATCTGAAAGCTCAAATTTTTGCAGAGGAAAAGAATAGCTCTGGCTCTCTTAAGTGCTAATTCATTCACACTGGTTGAATGATTTGTATTTGAAACTCCTAACACTGAGGTGAGTCATGTTGAAAATATTGCTGTGGCTGTGTCAGGCTTGGCTGCTTCTCTTCCTCTTAGCGATTGGGGCGAAGTGGGTCTGGCTGGGGGAAGGGCAGTCTTTAAGATGGAGCAGGCATCATCACCACGTTGTTTTTAACTGGAAGGACAAGTAGGTATTGAGTTTTATCAGTTTTGGTTCCTCAAAGAATGGGGTTTCATTTAAGCTGCTGAAGATCAGCTAGAACATTCTGCAGCGTTGCCTTCTCCGCTGATTGTCAGGAAAGCCTCAGGAAGGTGCGAGACGGCGCTGTGTGGCGCATGGCGGTGGAAAGCCGGCTCCCCCCCCCCCCGTGAGCCTAGTTTGTTTCACTTCTAGAAACGGTTAACATTCTGGGGGAAAGTTAGAGACACCTTGCGGATTATTTGTGTTTTTCCATCTTGTACCTTTAATTCTGCTACCGTTTCTTAGCTACACTGAGGGATCGCCCTCTTAGGAATGTGCTTTCATGATGCTGTTACCTGAGACAGTTAGCCCCTATGATGTTGATTCAGGTAACTTAGGAACCCTGGCCTGTGGATCATCCATATCCCTGCTTCCTAGGGGTTTAAGAGAACATTAAATGCAAATTATAAAAGATGTTTGGTTCTGTGCATCTGTAGTTCGGAAGTTTCACAGCTTCACCTTTTTGGGGCCTCTCTGTACAGTCAGCACATTTGTGTTGTTTCCCACAGGGGTCAGCTGAACAACGGGCTGTGCTGAGGTCTCGCCCTACCCCCACATGGTGGTCCTTTACAACCTTGGTGTATCTTTAATTGTTAAATAGTTGTCATAGGTTATACTCTTAAGAGCTTTATGACTGACTGTAGATCTTTTTAAAAAGTTTATTTTTGTAGGATTTAATATGGTTATGTTTAGCATTGAATGTTTTCCAAAATTATTATTTTGCTTTTAAGCATTCAGTGTGAAAAACACCAAATTCTATTAAACATTTATAACAATGGCAGTAGTACAGGTTTCATAGTATTTGAATGTTAATTTTCTTTCAGAAATTATCTAACCTGTGAAGATGTGTGTACAGGAGCTTTTGGGGGAGCTAGGGTGCTTGATAGCCGTCTGTTTCTGCAGTGGCTTTTGTGCGTTGGTTGGTCATCCCTGGTCCTGGGTGGGAGCCCTCCCGGTGTGGACTGGCCTCGCCTGGGCCGCGGGTGAACGGCTTCATCCTTCCTTTTAAAGAGGATCCTGTTGTTTCCTGGGAGAACGGTTGATTATGAAAATGTCTGACCCCGTGCAGGGCTTAGGGTCGTTTGATCTGCTCTACTTCTGAAGTAATACTTCTAAGGCGGCTGATAGAAACCATATGGGACTTAAGTATTTGCAAACACACACACACACACACACACACACACACACACACACACCCCTCCCCCCGCTCAGACAGGCTGTTAAGATCAGGAAGGTTTTTAATTCCTTTACTGAAAGGTTTATATATTTATTTTTATTCCCCGTTATCAGGGATTGACAAACTAACTTGCTGAAGGGTTTTTTGTCCCATAACCCAAGATTGAGTTTCGTATTTTTTTTGTTTTTTAAGAAAGTTAAAAAAAATCCAAGGTTCCATCGTCATGGGAAGCTCTGGTCATTCTCTCCACACTGACCCCTGAGTAGCAAAATACAGGGCACGCTCCTGGGTCATTTGCATTGCTAATTAAAACTGCCTTTGAGTTCAGTTTCTTTATAGTATCACTTGCCTGTTGAAACTAGCTAAATTTGAACATGGGTTTCCTAGCAAACTGATTTCCTCTTATTTTAAAAATTTCACCAACTTTGAATTATTTCTCAGGAAAGAAATATACACACACACATATAGTGTTTTTTTTTTTCCCCAGAGTCTGTTTCTTGTTGATTTCATGCTAATTCCAAAGAACAGCTGCTTCTTTGGATGGATAGCATTACTCTGAAAAATGAAAATGAGCAGAATATTTGGAAATGCACTTCTGTACTGTGAACATACTGTTGAACAAATGTAAATTCAAAATCAAAGAAGGAGCAGGGCTATGGGGTTGGAATGAGAGGACTGAGTCCTGAGGGGTGCAGAAATGAGCCTGAATGCGCCCGTTTGATGCAGGTTGCTCAGTCTCTGGCTGAGCAGCCTAGCCGCCCGTCTCACCGCAGGCTGCAGGGTTTGGAAGCAGTGCTGGAAGCTCCTCGCACATGCGTAGTTACGACGAGAATTACACCATTGATGGCAAATTTTTTTTTTCTTAAATAACTAATAGACAAAAATTTCCATCCATTGGTTACTTCCAAGTGCGCACAGCAGCTGGGGCTGTGCGAGGCTCAACAGTCACTTACATGGATGACAGGAACCCAGCCATTTTCAGCCGTCACCTGTCTCTGAGGGTGCATGGTGGCAGGAGCTTGGGGTCAGGAGCCAGACACCGGCCCAGGGCCAGCCCTTTGCTGGCAGGCTTGGCCCCATTTCCTTGATTCAGCAGTATCAGACACTGACCCTCCTGAAAGTGTTATGGTTCATTGAAGAAGACCTGCACAGCAGGTTTTTTCATTAAATGTCAATATTGGTGGAACACTTAGAAATGTCATGGCATTTATTTAATTGGTTTAATATATATACTCCACATCAAACTCAGTCTAAGCAGCAGTGTTTGTTCTAGACTTAATAATGTTTGCCTTTTCTTTTGATTTTTAGGAGCTTGTTTAATGAAAAGTGCCATACATTGAAAAACCAAACATGAGGGTAGCAGGTAAGAAGACATTGAATTGGGTGGAATTAATTTTCCTGTCTGTGTGACCTGTTTGTTTAGCAATGACAAAAGACGGGGGGTTAATAATTCTGAATAGAATACAAAGCTGAAATATTGCACATAAAATACTTACTTAGATTCTGATTCTTTGAGCTGTCAGCAAATCACAAATTGTGCATTTAATGATCATTTCTTTTGGACAAACCTTATGCTAAATATTTTTAACTTTTAGTGTTTATATTCTTTTAAAAACATTTTTTATTAAAAAATGTATTTGAAAGAGACAGGACCAGAAAGTTCCTGTTTGCTGGTTTGCTCCGTAAGAATGTGTTTTTGCTCACTGTTTGTCAGTCTGCCCTCCTGAGCTCAGGACGTCAGTTGGCCCTCTAGCAGCATACTGAGGCAGTTGAAGAGCTGCGCTTCCATGCATGGCCTTGATGACGTGGAGCTCTCTAGCGCCCGCATTGGATGAGCCGAGGCCTTTTTCCTGCCTGCGGAATGCTCGTATGTAACCAGCATGTTTCTTATAGGCTCAGGTTCACCTTGGTACAGAATTTAGTCTAGAACTTTCATGTTACAAACTTGTTTCTTTTAATCATTCTGATTATTTCAACACTGAATATACAAGGGATTTTCAGAAAGTTCTTGGTACATGTCTATTTTTGAAAAGCCGTGCCTAGATTTCAAAGTTTTTCTTACTCAAGTAATCATCTTTGAATTGCATTTTCGCATGAGTTTGCGAAGTACTCTCGTAGCTGCTGTCCATTTCAGGCTGCAGGTGCCAGTGGTTATGATAAAGTAAGATGGCGAGACATCATGTCATAATCCTTACGTCCTTTGCTGTGCTCTTAAATGATCAAGGAAGGCTGTGTCGCCCTTTGTCATCCATTTAGCAAACGGTTGTTGAGAGTTTTAATACAGGTAAAACGTACAGCTAGATCCAAGGAGCAGGGTTTACTGGCCTGCTTGAATGTCTCTGATTTCAGCCACCTTGCAGTGGCTTTTGAAAACCGGAAGCAGAGTTTGGAGAGAAGATGGTAAATAGATGGAGGCTGAGAGTGATCATCCTCTTAGTTTAACTTCCTCACTGCCACATCATTTCTGTATTCTGCATTACACAGAGATTTTCATTTGGAAGCAGTTTCTCATTCACAGTAAAATGTTGAGGAAGGGAGCAGGTTTTCCATAACCCCCCTTCCCCCGCCCCCCAGCATAGCCGTTGATGTTGTTTCCAAGTAGAAGCAAGTTAGTTCTCAGGCTGCTGCCTCTGCCTCCTTAGCTTTTTACATTTTAAAACTTAGGATTAGCCTGTGTGTGTTTCCAGTTTCTGTACAAGTAAGTTGAGCTTGGTGATTTGTCAGAGGAATGTGGTCCTTGGGTTTGAGGATGGAGTGCTAGGCAGAGTCCTGGGCCTTGCCCTGCCTCCAGTTTACCTATATTCTTCACCAGTTCCTGTGTTCTGTAAGGACGATGAGAAGGTCGTGAAAGCACGTGACACCATTGGCGAGGGAGGAGAGGGACAGAGACTGTAGAGGCAAGATTAATGCTGCTCATCTGTGAACTAACAAGATGTCGCTGAAGTGCTTGAGCAAGAGAAAGACAATTCTTACCTCTCATTTCCCATCTGGTCTTGTGCTTTTTGTGGAGCTGCACCGAGAAGGAGTGAGAGTTGACTGGTATTAAGCAGTGCTGTCGGTGCATTTGTAAAGCATCCAGTTGTGGTTAGAGGTAGAAAAGCACAGAGTGTGTCTTGCGGAACTTGTCATGTAGCCGAGTCCATGTGATACACGTGCTAGATGCCAAGCTCTGTCTGGCCGAGTGGAGGACATCTCTTCCTGGAGGAGTAGCCTGACCACATCAGGATTGGAAAAGTGGTACAGTTTCCTTGAGAACTCATTCTTTAATGTACATCCTGGCCTTTGTAGCTCCAGAAATACCAAAAGGAGTAGGAATTCCACATTCGGATGTACACGTTCATAGAAGCGCCTAGTATCCGTTTTGTGGGTTCGTAACTAACGGTGAATTCTGCCTTTATCCAGGTGCTGCAAAGCTGGTGGTGGCGGTGGCAGTGTTTTTACTCACATTTTATGTGATTTCTCAAGTATTTGAAATAAAAATGGATGCAAGTTTAGGAAATCTATTTGGTAAGTTTCAGGGTTTTTTTTCTCCTTTTTTGCCTGTTATTTTTGATGTGATTCTCCAAATTTTTTTTTATCAATTTGAAACTTTTAGTCACTGAGACTTGTGCAGAAAAGGGATTATTGTATCAGTAAATGATTCATTTGAAGATTCTAAAATATAAAATAAGAGGCCTTAGAATTAATCCACTGTAAAGCATGAATCTTTTTGGGTATATTTTATCCGTGGGGCTCATGACGCCTTGGTGTACCTGCTAGAAGCGGCAGTGCCCTTCAGTCTGGTCCCGTTTCAGTTGCCTGCTAGGGAATACAGGACTGTATCTAGTACCCACTCGCCAGCTGGTCGGTCAGGTGTCAGTTCATAGCATTTTCCTTTTGTGATTTTTGTTTTTACCCATTCATTTTCTGTTTCTATAATGTAAATCTGTCACGATCAAGTGCTTTAATTCAGTTTTTGAGCAAAATCCTTAAATGTGTTTGCAGGAATCAGTTATGTTTAATGCTATTTTAAGTGGTTGTGTTTAATACCTAATTGAGTCTCAAACAGCTTTGTGCCAAATGCATTTCTCTTCTGTAGGTGTACTATTATGAGAGTGAAAAAATATAATTTAACGTTTACACTATTAAAGTGGAAAATATGTGTTTAAAATTAAGATTCGAGAGTAGTTCTACATATCTTCCGGAAGCCTTAGAGCATCATGATGTGAAGGTGGTAAAGCTGTTGATGTCCTACACAGCGTGAAAAAGGAGACTGCGGGACCGACAGGTGGTTTTCTAATGCAGCAGAGTCAGATGAGAGGACTGTGAGAGCTCTGGATTTGTGCTCAGTGCTTGGAAGGGGCCCTCCAGACCCCCTTCAGTTCCACCTGAGCTATGCGAGGTCTCCCTCAGTGAGTGCTTCTCCACAGAACCTCTGAGTCAGCAGAGAGGAGCGCAGCACTCAGCCTGCCGACAGCCAAGCTGGGGCTGCCGCTTATGCACCTGTTGAGGCTTTGCCCAGAGCTCGTGTGTGGTCCCCCAAACTCTAACACGCGGGTGACTTTTCCTCGGGAGAGCACCTTTCCGTGTTGCACCGGCTTCTCCCTTTGGTACTCCCAATTTGTTTGAACACACTGATCTTGCTGCCGTCTCAGAGCTCTCTTCTGCATGGGTGATCTCTCAGAAAGTTAAGTTGTAGAAAGTTCTTCCGGTCTCTCACTACAAGTTGTCATCTTTCCAAGTAGGCAGATACTTTGTCCTTGTTTGTTCTGTCTTTATGAGCATCTCAGTGACATCCCGATATGTCTTCGCGGTCTGTGCTATGCATGCTTGTCTCACCCCTGCCAGAACTGTTAAAACAAAGGAGACTTTTTTTTTTTAAAGATTTGTTTATTTTTATTGGAAAGTCAGATCTACTGAGAGGAGGCGAGAGAGAGTAGAAGTCTTCCATCTGCTGATTCACTTCCCAGGTGGCCACAACGGCCAGAGCTGTGCCTATCCAAAACCAGGAGCCAGGAGCTTCTTCTGGGTCTCCCATGCGGGTACAGGTTCCCAAGGGTTTGGATTATCCTCCACTGCTTTTCCACGCCACAGCAGGGAGCTGGATGGGAAGTGGAGCAGTCAGGAAACAAACCTGTGATCATATGGGATCCCTGGCACATTCAAGTCAAAGACTTTAGCCACTAGGCTATTGCGCCAGGCCCAACCCCAGTTCTCACAGAATAAATGAGATTTGCTGCTTAGGATGGCACACAAGGATGCTGCTCTGGGCCCACTGGCTGTGCCCAAGGACACATCATCGACGTGCATGAATGCTGCCCCCTGCTTTGACCCCTTGGCCGTTGCTCATTTCCCATTCTGCACATCTTGTTCATCTTGTCGCTGGCCGTCGTCCTCACTTGGCAGACCTCTGCACAAGTACCCCTTTTTTTGGAGAACTGGTTTTGAGGCTCCTCTTGATCTAAGAGTGCTGTGCTCCTTTTTCTGAGCTGTTTGTCTTGATTGTATGCTGCTTCAATCTCTCAGTTCACCATTGGTTTTTATTTTTCTTTATAAAGTTTCTTCTTTTTTCTTCCTCCCCCCCCATTTGTCTCTTGACCCAAGAGTAAATCTGGGGACAACAGTGTCTTGATATTTTGCCCATCTTCTAGGGCTGCGTCTCATGGAGAGTAAATGCCGGTAGGGTGGGAATAAATGTGGGTAGTTGAGGCTTTGGGACGTTTGTGTGAAAAGGAAGACTTTCAGAGTGGGAATCATTTACAGCTAAGCCGTCGGCAGAGAAGTGTGAGCGCAGCAGGCTGTGCTGCCGTTCAGCGTGATGTCTTCTAGGTCCTGATTGGGTGTTGGGTGATGTCCAGTCCCGCCGGGTCAGTCGTCTGAGTTGCAGCTGTTAGATTCACATATTCTTAGTGTAGAGGATTTATTTTGCCATCACATCTAAAGCAGTACATTGTTCCTAGGAAACTTTATTGGATTCTAATCTACTAAGTGTTAAGTTTTGGGATTTAATTCTTTTTTCCTACTTTGCCATTTTGTGTAGCTTCTCACATTGTTTAGCAAAGGCTAGCGCGCTTGGACCAGCGTCAGGAACTGTCTCTAGGCAGTGCTACAAGTCCTTACGATAGAACAGTTTCTTTTGGTGAGGAATTTCCCTTTCTTCAGGTGGTTAATCTCATGACTTGCTTGGCAGTTTTCTGTAGATCATACTGATTCGTATTTGCAAATGGTGTTATTTTAGGATAATAGAACAAGTTTATTCCTAGAAACACAGAATACAGAATATACCTGTAAGTAGTGGTTGAAGTTATGAGAAAATTGTGATTTAAAAAAAAGGTTTTATCTAGTAAATTTTCTTTTGAGATAATTGATTCCCCTGCAGTTGAAGAAATAACACTTGAGACCCTGCATGCCCTTTACTCGGACTGATACATTGAATCAAACTAACTGTGCAGTGTCAGAACCAGGAGGTTGACCGAATGCAATCCACCAGTCCCACGCCTGCTTGTAAGCTGACATAGTGTTAAGTTTTAGCATAGATACTTAGCTGGAAAATGTACTGAGTAGAGTCCAAATTATTTTTGCATATTGTCACTGTAAGTACTTGATATTCCATTAGGCGATTTCTACTCTTTTAGATTTGAACTATTGGTGTGTGGTATACACACAAATTATTTGAACATTATTACAAACTGAAGTACAGAATTCACTAATAAAATCAAAATAGAAAGATTGATTATCGTTCCTTGGAGGGAGATGCAGATGTTGAAAGAAGCTAAGAGTTAAGGCTGCCGGCTGAGTGGGGCGTGCACGTTGGCAGATGGCAAGGGAGTTTTGTCTTTAAGGTTGCGTTTGTAGTCTGCGCTTGAAGAATGCCCTGCTGTCTAAGAAGGTGAAGTTATCTGCTTGCTTGCTGGTAACATCCTCAGTGTTAAAGGTCCGGTAGAGGATTTGGAATTTTGACATGCACTGATTAGGAAGAAGTGCAGTGGAAATAAAATTTTCACAAGAGTTCTTTCACTTTCAACCGTTTTCTAAGTTTGTACATAAATTGTAAGTGGAGGCTGTGGTCTCATGAGTAAGCAAGGTTTTTTCCCATACTGTGGCCCAGTAAATGCTGTTTAAAATTGAGGAATGGTTGCTGTGTATTCTTTCTTGAATTTGACAAGCAAACTAGTTTAACTGTTTGAGTGACTAATCCCTGGTTCATGCCTACTTCCTTTTGCTCCACCAGTCAAGGTTCTGGCTGTTGTTTTGCTTTGATCATTATTGATTATTGATGTCCCGGTCCCGGTCCGCCAGATGCTCTCTCCCTGGGTGCCTCATCCTTGGGCTGATTTTCCAGTTTATCCCAATCCTAGATTCCAGGGATAGCTGTCCCCTAAACTGTCTGTCTCTTGGATCCCAAGTCTCTTAAAATTAACAGATCCAACAAAATAACTCAGCATTTATCCCCACCCTGTCTTCTCTCCACATGGCAGAAATCTTTTGTGCATACATGTTTTGTTCACTGACTCATGTGAGTGGATGTTTAAATTAATGCTTCTGCAGCCAGGTCCCTGAGTGGCAGCTCTGAATCTCCTGTCACCCTTACATCCAGTCCATGCTGGTGTCCTGCTAATGCTGCTTCCTTAGCTGGCCTGCTTCTGTCTGCCTTTCTCATTACGCTGTTGTGTGTGTGTGAGAGGAGGCACTCCTACGTTTTATGCCTAGATCACTTTCGCAGCGTCCTGTCCTTGTGAACTCCCTGTCCCTGGTCTTCAACCCAGGCTTTCCTGTCCTGGCTGCCTGCGGCTGCTAGAAGCAGCAGGTTTTGTCTGTGACCCCAAGACCCCAGACATTGCCATTTTTAGCAGTGGTGAAACCAATTTGCCTGCTGGAATGAGATACGTCATTGAAATCTGGTTCTGCCAGTTACTAATGATGACCTAGAGCAAATCAGATCAGCTTCTCGGCCTCCAGTTTACCTTTAAAACAATCCTGATAAGGTTATTAATATGTGCTGTAGTCCTTGTCAGAGTGCTAGGCAGACACGAATGAACCAGTGGGTGAACTCTGCTGGGGCCTTCTGTTTTCCCCACAGCTTCTTACCATAGGTCAGGCGGACCAGAGTTTTGGTTCTGATGGTGCCTTGCACCAGAGTTAACACCAGGTCTGGGGAAGACGCCTTTGCTACCACAGAGAGACTTGCTAGCCCTGGTGCTGCTGGTCACACAGTGGGCTTGGTGACTTTAACAATGTGCAGTACTTGGACTATTCTGTTGACTTACTCAGGTTTTGCTTACTTGATCGTTGCTCTTTTTGTAGTCATTTAAACACTACATGCTTTAAGTTTCTGTCCCCTGGTTTGAGTGTTGGATTTACAGGAAATTCATAATTATCTAAAATGTTACAGAACTAAAACCTGAGTGACTATTTGTGGCTAGACAGCTAGCTGGCTGACTTTCATCATGCCGCATGCTGTTAACCAAGTCAGGAAACGGCTGTCCACATTACTTTGGTCTGAGTTAGTCCCTTGGGCTGGGATCAGACGCAGGTGCCGTAAAAGAGCTCAGTGTTACTTATGATAAATTGCCAGTTGAGATCTCTTACATTTAAGTTAAGATTTGACCTACTGGCTTCTTTGAGTTGATAAATTATAACACTCTTAGTAATGACCTCCTTTTTGTTTTTATTACACCCAATACATTGCATTTTTGAGCAATTAGAGCTTTCTGTAGCCCTCTTCTTCTTGCCAGTCTCCCAGCTCAACCTCTGAGGTGCTTGGAAGTCCGTTGTACCCAACACCGTTCCCAGAGCAGCAGCAGCTGCGCAACACCATGCTTTTCACCAAGTCTGTATTCCCAGTCACCAAAAGGTGGATTCATAGGCTGCCAGTCTTGTTGGGATTTAGCTTTCTTAATAACCAAAATAGAAACTGTGAAGGTGGGAATACAAAGTCCAGGCACTGATACAATGCTGCGGCATTCCTGTTTATACGGTGTATGATGATTCGTGTCATTTATAGTTACTGTCTCACTATTTATTAGATGTGTGGTATACATGTTTTATTGTATATTGAGCAGACATTCACGTGATTTTATATTTAAATCCTGTTAGAAGCTCTGAAGAGGTTGAAGAGTTGATTGTTCTCCATTGGGTCATTGTTTCTAATGAAGATAACTTTTTTCTTCCTTAGCAAGATCAGCATTGGACGCAGCTGCACGTTGTAAGTATTTCCTCCTACTTACTATTTTATAAGTGACTTAGACAGATGAAAACTTACATCCAAGCAATCTCAGTAGTTCAGTATGAGGAAAAACTGTTCTAGAAATTGATTGTCCAAGGTAAAAGGATGCTTTTTGATTGAGCATCCTAATATTCTTGATATTTATTCATGACAGGTGTTTTGTTTCATTAGTGCCTTATAGTTTCAGTGTTGAAGTACAGAAAGTGATGGAGGAATGAAAAGAGAGTTTTTCTAGCCGACAAGTGTTGGGGCAGATATTGGGACAGTGGCTCCTCATTGGGGTGCTGGAGGTCACCCCAAACCTCCTGCATTCTGAAGTTGAAAAGTAGGCTCAAGAATAGATGAAAGCACGCTAAGCAGGCTCATGCTGTGCTGCTGGTTCATTTCTGTCCATTAGTAGCTGGTTTCCAGATCATTTTTTGTTGTATATTGTTGTCTGTAGTTCTCTGAAACCTTCGGAAGACAGATTTTACCTTGTATTTGAAAATATACTTATCCTGATGTATTATCTAACACAAGCCTTGTGGCTTGAGACACAAAACAAACTCTAGAATTTGTTGACTTACTTTCTAACCAGACTAAACCCAAAACATCATGTATTCTTTCCTGAAGCTACAAAGCCTCCTAGATATAAATGTGGAATTTCAAAAGCTTGCCCTGAGAAGCACTTTGCTTTTAAAATGGCAAGCGGAGCAGCCAATGTGGTGGGACCCAAGATCTGCCTAGAAGATAACATGTAAGTATTTGTTGATTGCAAGTGTAGTCAGGGTGTGGGCATTTGTCACACTGTTTAAGCTGCTGCCTGAGGTGGCCACTTCCTGTATCAGAGTGTGAGTGCGGAGTGTGAGGTTCTGGTCTTCCCCTCTGATTGCACCTTCCGGCTAAGCTGCACCTGGGGAGGAAGCAGGGGACGGTTGGAATATTGGAATTCTTGCCCTTCCCCATATGGCACTTGGATGAGATTGGAGTCCTGGCCTCCACTTGGCCTCGCCCTAGGAGTTGCGGGAGAGAGCAGGAGGGCGGGAGATCTCGGCAAGTCAGTCCCTGTCTCTTTCACTCCTTTGAAATCAATTTTTAAAAAATGATAGTCAGTTGAAGCTGAGTTTAGCGGATCTGCTGAAAATGTCGAGCATGCCTTTGCTAAGGAAGGTTGATTTCAGTTTTCATTAGCAGTTTATTTCTCACGGCTTCAGTGAGTCAGAGTTCTCAGATCATGTACTGGGGCGGGAGCTGAGGTCTCTGGAGCTGCAGTGTTTGTTTGGTAGCCACCAGACACACGCGGCTGTTTGCCTCTGGATCTTTACCGCTAAGGAGAAAGTTAGTCCAAGGAATTAAGGGTAAAACCTTAGTTGCTGTGTTACAGTCTCCACGTTTCAAGTGCTTAGTGGCCACATGTGGCTCCTGGCCACCAGAGTCAACAGCACAGGGTGTTTCCATTGTGGAAGAGTCCTGCTGACAGCCTTGCCCCCGGAAGTGACTCTGCCCTAGCAAGTGCCACCTTTCGTTTTCCATGTTGGAGTGCTGCTCGTCGAGCGTGACACGGTCCAGCCTCACGTTAGCCTGATGCCCTCAGCTCCGTTGCTGCCCACACCGTCCAGCCCCAGGCTCACTGGTCTCCTAGGCAGAGCTTGTCTGTGTCCTACCTATGTCAGGGTCAAGTGCCTGCCGCTGCTGTTGCAAACTCTACTTTTAGTTGGTGGCTTTCAGTCTTCTGTCGCTTAGGGAACTGGATGTGTGAGTTTATTTAAACTTTATGTAACACAGTAAATAATGGCATGGAGTAAGGTTTTATAGAGAGGAGGCCGTCCTAAGCTGCGCAGCTCTCACAGCTTCGTTGGGGTCTCATCTTTTACTCGTGAAAGGTCTTACACTGTTGTCCTGGTTCCGTTGCACTGAAGTTCTTTAGGGGAAGGGTGTCTAGCCTCGTGGAATATTCCTCTTGCCGAATTCAGCATTTGAGCAAGTAGATGACCTTTAAGGTCTGGTTCATTTTCTTTCTTTATGTTAGTGATGATTCTTAGTTGATGTCTTATCTACTGATTTCTCATTATAGTAGTTTTCTGTTTTGATATTGACAAGAAGAAAGCTTGTAGTTCAGAAAACTGCGAGCTCTAGGAACGCATCCCCGTCTCCTCTTTTCATCTTGCCTGGCCAGAGGCCTCTGGTTTGCATCTAGTGACCGAAAGTTCTCTGAGCATAGCTGCCCACAGATGGTCTTCTGAGCACCTGACTGCCCCCTCGCTGCAGGCAATCCGACGAGGATGGCTTCAGGCTCGTTTCTTTAGTAACAGGATTTCTGTTCACTGATGATGTAAGTCAAAAGACAAAAAGGGGATGGAGGGACGTCTGTAGGCAGTGGATCCTGGTTAAAAAAAATGGATTTGGAGCCGAGGAATTTGCTTCTAGCATGGTGGGCATGCCATGTAGAATTTGTACAGTTTCTTGAACCATTAAACAGGCCACCTATCAGCCTTCAGTTCAGGAATCATTCTAGGATTCCCACGAGAGATGACAGAATTGGTGGGGTTTTACAGCTAGGCCTCCAGGCATGCAAGTAAGTGGTCCTGGCAGAAGGGCAGGATAATTGGCTGGTGATCCGCAGTGGGGACTCCCTGGGGACCAGTTCACAGTCCGGTCCCTTTTCCAGCATGTTTCTGTATTGAAAGCCTAAAGGTTTCTTTCTTCTTTTCAAAGTCTAAATTTTCTAACCTTGATTCATACACCGACATAGCAGGTTTCTGTTGAGCGCAGTCTCTCTCGTCGTGGAACTTAAAAGGCTAGCAGAGGTGACAGTGTGAAATCCTAAATGCGAGTTAAGTCATTGCAAGTTCCAGTCGCAGCTGGGAAGGGCAGCCCTATGAGGAGTGCCCGTGGGAGTGACATGAGATGTCCTGTGTGACAAAAAGGGCTTGGGGAGTGGCTTTTAGGCAGCAGCGTGGAGTCCGAGAGCTGAAGCACAGGAAGGGAGATGACTGGGGAAGGACATGGCAGTGGAAGGCAGAGCGTCGTGGAGGGCCTTGAGATGGGAAAGAGCTGGAGAGAGAATGAGGATTAAGCAGGCTGGCATTGTGGCGAAGTGGGTACGGCTGCCATCCACGACCCTGGCATCCTCTAGGGACTGTTTCGAGTGCTGGCCACGCCAGTTGCAGTCCAGCTCCTTGCCAATGGCCTGGACAAAGTGGAAGCAAGGCCAAGTGCGTGGGCCCTACCGTCCACACAGGAGACCTGGATGAAGCTCTGGCATCAGGCTGGCCATGGTTTTCCATTTGTTTCCTGTTGAGATCTAGTTTTAAAGTTGACGAGCTGCTGCTGCCCTCCTGTGGTCAGTCTGTGTCACTGTGCTGCTCCTTGCCTGTATTTCCTTTATGGTAGACTCAAGTTTATACAGTACAGCAGTGGAATTTAAAAAGCTAGCGACTTGGAAATGTCACTTATCATTCAAGAAGTTAATCGTAACCCTTTTTAACATCATAATATTGCCCAATAGATAAGAATTTTTTTAATATTTGCTTTTGTGAAAGCAGCAGAGCAAATTCCTTGAAATTCCCCTGCTCGTTGGAAGTCACGTTAGCCATGAGGTTATAAAAGGCTTGGGCGTCATCTCCCTTTCTCCCAGGTCATGTTGATGTCTCATAGAGTGGCTGTTGTCGGTTACAGGTAATTGGAATCTCTTGAAACGGTATGGGGCATGCACACAGTGCTCTGGTGTTTTAAGGATTTTCCAAGGTGGTATTTTATAATCTAAGGTAGAGCAATAGGAAATATTTCAGTCCAGAGCTTTTTGATGTATTTCCATTTGTAAAATACTGCTTAAGGACAGTGCTTTAAAGTCATTCAGGGTTGTGCCGCCATCTCTGACTTAGTAGAAACTGTATTTTCTCTGTAGCACTGACTGGTTTACTGCGTGTCTGTGTATATCAATGCTTTCTGTGGTTTTTCAGCATGACTTGATTTCTGTGACATATGTGCGGTGTCTGACTCTGACATGTCCTGACTTTCCCCTTCAGTTTAATGAGTGGCGTTAAGAATAATGTTGGAAGAGGAATCAATGTTGCCTTGGCAAATGGTAAGAAGCATCGTTTTGGCTTTGAGTAGAGTGAGGAGTCTTCTTGTGTCCCCAAAGTGAAGTGCACCCCAGCTTCGAAGGATCAAGCTACAGTGTGCCACCCTTGGTGCTGAATTCTAAATGCTCCCCAACCCAAATAGAGACACGCACACTTATTAGTGGAGACTGTGTCTAAATATTCGTAGAACGTTCTCAGAAGCATCACAGCTTTGGGGACTTACGGATTTTCAGCTAGTATCCGTTGCAGTGTTACTGTGGGAAACCGTGGAGGGAGGGAGGGAAGGAGGCTGCTGGATTGCGGGTCGGAGGGAGGAGAAACAGAGTGGGGCTTTGTTGTAAACGTTCAGTATTGTTCCGATTAAGTGGTAAACACGTTGGAGATTTTTGAAAAGCTGAATGTGAAAGTCTGTATCCCCGGAGCGAGGCCTGGCCACACGGTGACCCTTGTGCTGGGCAGAGGCCGCTGTCGTCTCCTCTAGTTCAGAATGGAAGGAGGTCTCAGCTTTCACAACGCGGAATACAGTTTGCATTTGTGTTTTTCTTGTTGTCTTAGGTGAAAGGTTCAATATCTATATGACTAACAGCAAAAATACATTTCAAAGAGAAAGTGTACATGCTTATAAAGATGATTTTAATGTAGAAAGTGACATCTGGTTCGAAGGGGTGTGTGTGTGTGTGTGTGTGTGTGTGTGTGTGTGTGTAAGTTGTGTAGAGTTTTGAGTAGTTCTTACGGGAGGGTAGTTACACCTGAAGAGGAAATATACTTGGCCACCAGCGATCAACCCCCTTTGCTATTCTTTAGCTGAAAAGCGTAATGAGTCTTATCTAAAAATTATTCTTCAGAGATACATTTTAGACACAATTTCCATTTTAAGTTAATCTCCAAGTAACCACATCAGTCATTGGGTTAGGATCATTTGTCTTGTGTTTGTCAGCTGTATAATTTGGTGTAAATTCACTCTCTTTCAGGAAAAACAGGAGAAGTAATAGACACGAAGTATTTTGACATGTGGGGAGGAGGTGAGTGAATGCGTGGAGAACACTTAGTCACCTCCGTGCAGTGCAGTCTGTTCACGACAGAGCAGCGGTGTCACTCGTGTTCATTTTGTTTCCCTTTATTAAATGTCCAGCTGTATTTAGGCATTAAACTGTATATACTGCTACGTGATATTTTATAAAATGATCCGAGTCCTGCTTTCTGCTAGGCTTCTTTATGGTTGTGCCTGAGATTTAGAAAAAGAAAGATGGGCACAGCCAGTCCAACTGGTTCAACTGATTCTTAAAACATTATTTATATAAAGCACATTGACTTCATGAGCCTCAAAATACAGATTCAGAAGCCATGGTGACACTTCCCATTCTCTCCTCCCTCCTCCTTCCTCATTTCCTGTTTTTCTTTTTGAGTGTAATAGCATGCTTTCATTTTGCTTCACAATCCCAGGCTTAACGCTCCATTAGGTAAACAGTTCAGTAGCAGAGAGACAAAACAAAGTCACTATTCCCCAAGAGTACAGACAAGGGCTGTGAATAATAATCAGATATCAGAGTGTCAATTTCATTCAGATAAATTACGTTGTCGAGACTGTAGTAATTGCCACAGATCAGGGAAATCATACAGTATCTATTTTGGGGGGACTAGCTTTTTTCATTAAGTGTAATGGTTTCCAGTTGCATCTGTTTTGTTGCATAGACAGGATTTCAGTCTTTTTCTCATGGCCGAGTAGTGTTCCATAGCATATATAAATGCCATGTTTTCTTGTCATCTGCTAATGAAGGCCAAGTAAACCTGTGTTCGTATGTGGTGTCAGTGTCACAGGGAGTGGCTTACCCCACTGTAGCACAGTGCTGACCCAGAACCTGGAGACTTAGGAATGCAGGAGAAACTGTCCGGTTTTAGAAAAAACAGTAATTGTTCTATCCCTTCCAGTTCAGTCTTTTAGCTCCTGGCTAACTGTTAGTGTAGAGGAATGTGTAAGAGACGGAATAGTAAAAAATCTCTCCAGTTGCCTGGATTTATAATTACTCATAGATTTTTTGTTACTCCTCCCCTGTTTGGGGTGGGAGGGGCCGCCAGCACGCAGAGCAGGACCTGACCCCAGAGAAGGATGCTGCCTGCATTGCCCGGAGGCGAGGCCCCCGGCTCCCCTCTCCCCTGGTTCCCTGAGCCCTCTGGCCCTGCAGTCGGCTTCCTGGGGGTAGGCTGAGGGCTTTCAGACAGTGCTGGTCTCTAACATCCCTTAGGGTAGGGGGCCTCGTACTCAGATTGAGGTTAGAGCATTTCCTAGCTCTCAGCCCTCTTTGCCTTAGGCTGGAATTCGTTTGCTCACTGCTCTGTTTTACTTTTCTGAGTTGAAAATGGCACTAATAGAGAACCTGATCCATTAGAGAAGATCCTTGTAGTGGAAGGAAGTTGAGCAAGTCTGAAGTCATCTGGTTTCACGGAGTGTTAGACTTGAGGCTGAAAGGAATCCTTACATTGTAAAGAGCTCAGGATAAAAAAAAATGGTCTGTGGCTGTTAACCTGTCTGTTTGGCATCACCAGCTTGTGGTCACTGAAAAGGTTTATTTTGAAGTCCTTGTGGATCTAGCGTTTGCCATAGTTAGTCTGGGGCTTGGGGATGACTTAACCTAAATTTTTACATCACTTAGTAACTAGTGGAAGGACCTCTATATTTGTAAGGCGAGAATTTAGGTTAAAAAAAATGACAGATATTTGAGAATTCCTTGCAGCCTGCGTCTCCTCCTCCCAGGAAATGCTCCCGTGACTGTGTCAGTTCAGGGACTCCGTGACTTCCTGCTCTGATGTGACCTCCCGGCTGCCAGCACCCGCTCCTCACACCGCCCTTCTGTCTCACAGAGATCTTTCCCTGTGGCTTTTCCATGATGTCCGGCTTTAACCTGCTGTGCTTCCTTCCTCTGGCCTTTAGCCCTGGCATAACAGTGCGGAAGTAACAGCATGAGTCAGGAGTAGAAAATTGCAGGCTGGTCCTGGCGTCTGTAAGGGACAGATGTTTGGATTACTGTGCATTAGTCATTGCAGACCTATGGAGAAATCATCCTTTCTGTTGATTTCGGAAATCATCGTGGTGATTACTTAATAATTGCTTAAAGCAAGCACCTCACTTGTTTTTCTTCAGATGTGGCACCATTTATTGAGTTTCTGAAGAGCATACAAGATGGAACGATAGTACTGATGGGAACCTACGATGATGGAGCAACCAAGTAAGTACACTTTCGGGCTGTGATTTATGACCATAAACAGTCTGTTCTGTTGGAGACGGCTTGTAAAATGGACGTAATAGACTAGTAAACAGCATTAGCCTTTTCCTGTTTATTTCCTACCTATCCTTGTATACAGATATTTATCGTGGATATATTGTGAAATTAGAATAACATGGCATGGCATGTGCACTTTATGCTTTTCTGGACAGAGAACTCTCTTGCATCTCCTGGTTCACTCTCTGTTGCCTACAGCAACGTGCCCTGGGTTGAGCCATGCCAAGGCCAGGAGCCCTGAACTCTGCCTGGCTCTCCCACACGGGTGAACGGGACCCAGCCTTTGGAATAATGACCACTGCCTTCCAGGGTGTGAGTTATTAGGATGCTGGAGTTGAAGAGTGGAGCAGGGAGTGAGCCCAGGCACTCTGCAGTAGCATGTGGCATTCAAATGGCTAGTCCACCTGCTGCTTCACTCCCCAAATGACCACAATGGTCAGGAATGCACCAGTTCAAATCCTGGTGGCTACAGCTGCATCTGGGTCCGCTACGTGGGTAGCAGGGACACCTGTACTTGGTCATCTTCCACTGTCTTCCTGAGCACATGAGCAGGAAGCTGAAGCAGAAGCAGAGAAGGAGAAGCTCATGTGGGATGCCAGCGAGGCTTAACGTGCTATGCCGCAACGGCCCCTTGATTTTACTAATTTAGGTCGCAGTGGACTTTGGGAAGGTTACACTAATTCTTAGGTAGTCAGACCTACAGATTTTCCTCTTTAGTTTCTTCTGTGATTGTACTTGGAAAGTATTTTTCCATCTTTGGATATCTTAGTAGGTTTTCTCTTCCAGTGATTTCACTGTTTTCATATCTTTTTAGAAATCCCTTTGTAATTTTCCTGTGACTTACAAAGGCCTGCGTAGCCCTGGGGTATTATGTAGATTCGGCCTTGCCTTTGCAATTCTTTTTTTCTGTTCTCTTCTGTTGACCCATTTACTTCTGTTCCAAAAATATACTGCTTCAATTATAACTTTATTAAAAAAATAAGTGTTCATCATACCGCTCTGGTGTGGCTTTTGATGTTCTTCTTTTCAAAAACTAGTTTGTTTTTCCAGATGCTTTTATCAAGAATAAAAAACACCTCTTGCAGAGTTAGCTTAAAAAGCTTGAAAAATCACAAGATCGCACATGAGTATAGCATGATTTTTTTAAAGCCCAATTAATTAATTAATTAATTAGAAAGACGGAAAGAGAAAAAAGAATGAAATCTCCCAATTGTTAGTTCACTCCTGAAATGGACCACAGCAGCCCCTGCTGGGCTGAGCTGGAGTCAGGATCCGAAAACACCCAGGGACCGAAAAGTCACCTGTGGAGGACAGGAGTGTGGGTGCTGGAGCCCTCTGCTGCCTTGCCAGGAGTGCGGGTGCTGGAGCCCCCTGCTGCCTTGCCAGGAGTGTGGGTGCTGGAGCCCTCTGCTGCCTTGCCAGGAGTGCGGGTGCTGGAGCCCCCTGCTGCCTTGCCAGGAGTGTGGGTGCTGGAGCCCCCTCCTGCCTTGCCAGGAGTGCGGGGACACTCAGAGCCTTATGGGAGTTCCTGCACGCAAGTCCAGCGCCTCTCCCACGCCAGCTGCTTGCGCATGTGCATGCCAGCGTGGCAGGTGAGGCCTCCAGCACTGGATCCTTGCCGCCCTCGGGATTTCTGGCTTGTTCCTGGCTCGTGGCTCAGACCCCTGCCTGTTGGGGACACATTTGGGGAATGAAGTGGCAGGTGGAAGGGAGTTCTCTCTGTGTCTCTGCTTCTCTGCATCAGAAATAAAGTGGAAAAGTAATGGTATAGAAGTCAACATTTACTTCCCGTTGATTTCTCGGTTGATAGAAAACTCTCATCAGATTTTGCTAGCTGTGGTGGGAGTCACACCTGCTGGCAGTTTGTGAATGAAGCAGTCCCTTGTGTGTGAATGCAGCTCTTGCTGCAGGTGTGTACGAGCCACCTAAGGCCGCTGCGGCACCAGGCTGGGACTTTCTGGGATGGAACTGTGAATGAATCGCAGGACCGCTGCAGGAGGCCGTCGGCTCAGCTGCCCCGTGAGCCTGCACTGCCCACGGCTTCAGCTATCAGTGCAAGTGACACAAGTGGAGGCTTCTGCAGAAGTCTTCAGAAACTAGGTCACGTGGGTAAACTGCATGAGTCAAACTGGACAGCCTTTTAGTCGCCGGCATCCTAACACCTTTTAGAAACAAGGACGAAGCGCGAGGCAGTGCTTTGGGAGAGCTCCCCGCTAGTATAGTTATCAGGTGAGCAAGCAGGGGGAAAGTAACAGCTGCTTCCCGTGAGCATTGCGCTGGCGACCAGGGAAAAGACACCGTGCAGGTCCGGCGAGCGCAGGCACAGGCGCTTCAGAGAGTGGACGCTGTGCTGCTTTGCCAGAGGCGTGTCACTTTTTAGGTCACTGGATTATGATGCATAGTTTTTTTTTTTAAGATCTATTTTTATTGCAAAGTCAGATATGCAGAGAGAAGGAGAGACAGAGACGAAGATCTTCCGTCCGATGGTTCACTCCCCAAGAGACCGCAACGGCCAGTACTGCACTGATCCAAAGCCGGGAGGCAGGAGCTCTTCCGGGTCTCCCATGCGGGTGCAGGGTCCCAAGGCTTTGGGCCATCCTCAACTGCTTTCCCAGGCCACCAGCAGGGAGCTGGATGGGAAGCAGGGCCACCGGGATTAGAACCAGCGAACATATAGGATCCTGGCACATTCAAGGCAAGGACTTTTAGCCACTATGCCACTGCGCCGGGCCTCATGATGCATAGTTTTATACTCTTGATTGTTGGGAGGGTGTGCGTGAACACGGTGGGTGGCAGAGAGGCTGAGCATCCCAGGGGCTCTGGCTTCGTGGCTTTACTGCTGATTTTTGTGAACTTGTTCCAGCAAGTGTTCAACTGTGACTAAAATAGTTCTGCTCTATACATCTGGTTTACATAAATCATGAAAGTTCAGTCACATTTATAATTCTTTCCTGTTGTATAAAGCTTTGTGACTAATTATCTTGTTTATCTTGAAATTAATTAAATGAAAGCCATTCTGTGGCCTGTTTCTTGCATTAATACATTAAAGTCGCCAATATTGAAACAACACTGGAATGAATAGACAGGTACCTTCCCTAAGAGACTCCCTGTAAAACTTGACTTGCCTCAGGTTTGAGCAGACCAAATCCCTAACTGATGAGTAGAAATCTTTGGGGCAGTGGGGTACGCGACTACCCTTAGTTAGCTTGTTCAGTTTTTACTTCTGCGTCTAAATATTTTTTCTTCCCTTTAACATAGAGGGAGGACAGAATCACTCAACAGAAATAAAATGACGTACACAAAATCTTAGGAAGCATTTTGTTTCTTTAGTTGCTATGCAGAGGTGGAGAGAGATTCTGTCTGTTAGTTTACGCATGTCTGCAGCTGCCTGGCTGAGCCAGGCTCGGACCAAGGACCCCGGAAATGATCTGGGTTTCCCCTGTGATGGGGGGACCCCCACACTGCAGCCCTCACTCCTGCCGTCACAGTGCGTGTTACTGGGGAGCGGAGATGAGAGATAGAACCAGGACTTGAAGCCAGACACTCCGAGATGGGATCCCAGCCTTCCAAGCAGTATATTAAGGAGTCCCTCAAATAAACTCCACAATTAAAGAAAAAGTTACTACAGCGAGTTCCTTTTCACTAGTTGATTCTCCACAATACTGTAGCCACGCATGGGCCAGGCTGGAGCTGGAAGCCTGGAATGCGAGATGGGTGCCTCACGCGAGTGGCACTTGCTGATGAGCCATTGTCTGCTGCCTCTGGGAAGTGGCGCGAGAGCCGGGAGTTGAACCGAGACACGCTAATATGGGACACAGCTCAGCTGGCCTCTCGGCCACTAGGTCAGATGCGCTCCCTTACATAAGATCGTCACGGCGTTTGCAGTTAACACTGCCAGGTAGTTCACCTGCCTTTCCCTCTGCAGTGTATGTGTAGCTGCTTTGTGCTGAACATTTCCTTTTTTTAATTAACCCCTTAGCAATCACTGCTGGAATAGAATGTGCTGTTTTCAGTTCTAAGCATAGGGTTAGATGCAGCTAAATTTCAGGCAGGATTTAACTTTCTTCTGTTGGACTGTAATTTAGAAAGGAATCAGTGGTCACTAGTTTTACAAAGATACTGGCTATGCAAAATCTGCATGGTGTCCCTTATTCATTTGATGGACATACTGAAATCATTGGTGAAGATAAGTAAAGTCATCTAAATGATATTTGCTGAAACCATGTATGTTTATATGTTACTAAAGAATTCTAACAGTGGGAATGTTAGTCTAAAAAAACTTGCTCTGATTATTTTATGTTCCCTTGTTTAAGCTCCCAGGTTCTCATTTCCTGTCCCGGGACACAAATGTCCTGGGAGAACTGGTGTGTGTGGGATCACGTACTGGCCTGCGTTGATTGTGGTGGCCTTTTCTTTCCGTCCTGTAGACTCAATGAGGAGGCACGGCGGCTCATTGCAGAGCTGGGCAGTTCTTCGATCACTAATTTGGGCTTCAGAGACAACTGGGTCTTCTGTGGTGGGAAGGGCATTAAGACAAAAAGCCCTTTCGAACAGGTTAGTAGCTCAGATTCTTATCGACAGCAGCAAATTGAGCAGAACCTTTGAGTACTTGTTCCCATTTTAGTCAGTTGAATATTAAATAAAACGTAATACAAGGATATGTTTTAAAAGCCCATAAAAAGGCATGTTACGGGGGAAAAAAAACCCTGCAAGATACTACCACTTTTTTAAACAGAATGAGTTCCATTTTTCTGTGAACTTTTGAAGCGTCTTCATGTGTTCATGTATTACTCATAAACTCTTGGTACTCTAGGTATCTGAAATAATCATGACACCTTTTAAAATGCAAAACTTAATAATTCTGCGTGGAAATTGCTTTTATCTCATGCCTTTTGGGGCAGCATTAAGCTACTAAGGACTTTAATGGTTTTCACTCATAATCAGGGTTGGAGCTGCTTAGGGACTTGGAGCATGAATTCTGCTTGTTGACTAACAAATGACCTGTTAAGAACAAGATGGAATTTTCTTTCAGCTGCTACTTGGAGATCTGCCATGTTGTGTTAGGTCCTAAGGGTTACTTGTTCAGTGGCTTGAGCAGTGATGTATATGAACTTGTCCTTGACCACGAGCGCTCCTGAAATCAAAGTAGGTCAGGCGTGGTACTGATCAGTCAGCAGTCCCCAAAGGTGTTTTAACGTGCACTACTCCATGTTTCCACAGCACATAAAGAACAACAAGGATACCAACAAATACGAGGGATGGCCTGAAGTTGTGGAGATGGAAGGCTGCATCCCGCAGAAGCAGGACTAAAGAGGAAGCATGGGACCCGGAAGGCAGCCACTTTGACCGCTGTTGGCTGAGCTCGAAAGGAGAAACCACGTGTAAATATTTTAGGAGCATGCCACAGTCTTGGTGTCCGCATGAGCATTCTTTCTTTTGCTATCAGGAGTATTTATTACTAACGTAAATGGATATCTTTGTAAATAGTCAACCCCAGCAAGCGGGTCGCTGGTTCCTGAGTGGGTCTCCCTGCGAGAAGAGTGTGCAGACTGCTAAGGGGGCAATACGTTGTAACTCTGGAAACAGGCGGACAGAAAGCCAGATTGTTGAAACTGTACTGACATGTATACTGGTTGCTGTGAAAATATGTCATGGGATAGTACCAGATCTTAGAGAAGAGACTTGGTTTTCTTTTATATAAATCATATGTTTGTATGTATGTAAGTATTTTTGAATATCCTTTATGATGACCATATCTTTTCAATTGAGATTTGGCTCATTGTGTAATGTTACTTTACAGTCCAGCCCTCCTGATGTAACTTTTTGTTTGTTGTTTTTCTTCCTTCCCAATAAGGGAGTAACACATTTGATATGAAAACTTACATCAGAAACGTGAAAAGCACAATGAATCTTTTTAAAATATATTCGTTCAAAAGTAAATATATAAATGTAAACTGGCATTCACTTCTCAATATGAATAACTTGATTCTATGCAGGAGCACCTCAAGAATTCATGGGAAGTGTAATTAAAATATAGGGTTTAGCTAGATGTAAAGCACAGCGTGCATGCATGGGATCTTCAGAACGTTTGTGGAAAACTCTTATGAAAAAGTACGTGGATTTCTTTTTTTTTTTTTTTTTTTTGGCATCGAAATAAACATACCTTTGGTTGTAGTTTCCCCTGTTTTTGAAGTGCCCTGTATGTAAGCTGGCAGCGCTGAGGTGGCACAGGGCGCCTGAGCCACAGCACCTGCCCAGCCTCAGGTGGCGGGGGCACACTTGGGCCGGGACCTCTGCAGAGCCGTGCTGGCATGGGTTTTCATGATTCAGTTGTCAGCATTTACCAAATGGAGATCGGTTAGATTTGGGACATGCAAAGAGGCATTTTTTAGTAGCACAATAGTTTTGATTCATAACTGACAAGTTAATTCTCCATTGTGTAACTTCATAATAGCAGTTATTGCCCTAAGCTATAGTGGTATATTTAGAAAAGTTCTAATTACTGAATGGACTGATAGCATTTAAAAAATAACTTTATTGACCCAGAATGACCTTCTGCCCAATTCCACATAGAAATATAGGAGATCTATCCTTTTGGTGGTGTTTTTCTTTTTTAACTTTAGATGTTCACTAAATGAGTTTTTTTTTTTCCCTTTTATTCTTTCATTGTCTCTCTCTTCGGTCTTTTAGGGCATTAAATACCTGTTGTTTGTAAATCTCCTAAACTGGAACATGAACAAATTGACTGATCAAAATACCGTTAGCAACATAAGGCAGTAGTTAAATTTTGAGCCTGACTTTTAGATGACTTATGGTAAAACCTAAACACAGTATTTGTTATTTCACTGTAAACCAAGTTAGGAGCTTTTCATAGATTTGTTTTTGAGTGTTCATGAGATATCTGGTATTGTTCTTTCCTCAAAGTGAATGTAGGTCATGAATAAATGCAATTATTTATGCATTTAAATAATGTTTGTATATTTTCCGGATTTTTGGTGCTTATATTGCGAAATCACATCCAACATGTATATTTTGACATTTAGAAAAATCTCCACATTTCTGTAAATTAAAAGAGTAGCTATTTTACAGTTCTTGGATTGTGAAATAAATGTGCTTTTTTATAATAATGACAATAAATATTCATTTTGCATTGTCTTTTTTTGTATTATCTGACAAAGTAATATAAAATGTCATATTAAAGTTTTTCAAGAATTGTGCCACTTGACCTGCCAAAAATTCAGTCTTTGCTGTGATGAAACACAGTCAATAGCTTCTGGGTTTATCTTAGCATGTATGGAATTTAAATATGTCCCTTTGCTCATAAAGCCTGTGAAATGGTGTGTAAGTGTGGGAGAGCTCAGAAGGCGGGACGCAGTGATGCTGCAACTCCTGGACGCTTGCTTTGTTTTTTCCCTCAGTACTTTTGTACAGATTATGCCAACTCCACTCCGGAAGCAAGAATTTTCCTGCATTTCATTTCCAGTTCTCTTTAAAATCAGCATTGTAAATACTCATTTGATGTTAAGAATTTTCTCTATTAAAATCAGAAATTTGACCTTGCCACTTTGGAATTTTAAAGGATACTTAAGGACTCATTGGTGCATAAATTGTATTTGTAATTACTTATGCTTTCCAATATAAGTGTATCACAGTATGAATGCTAAAATTGGCAAAAAATGAGGAAAATAAGTGACACTTGAGAAATTAAAGAGAAAATTCATCTAGTCTTCATATCCCTGACTTTAACTAAAGTGAAATTTATCATGGTTCTTTCTATTTCTTCTTAAATGAATCAGGTAATTTTAAAAAATAATTTTAGAATATAAAAACCCAGTCCACTAGGCCCATATTGTAACTTGCAGTTTATAAACGTTATGACTAGCTGGACCAGAAACAATGTATTTTATTTTATTTGCTTGTCAATCCACGTGTTAAGTGAGAAGAATGAGAAATGTGTTCAGTTAGAGTTAAAGTAGACACGGGTTTGGAAGGCTTATTGAAGTGACGATGCAAGAAGAGGCCACGATGGTTTTTCCGTCACGCCCTTGTGTTCTGATTGCCGTGTGTCCTTCCCTTCGGAGCTCCTTTAAATTTTTTATAAACCTATTTCTTTGAAAGTCAAATGAACAGCGGGAAGGCCAGAGAAGCTTTCTGATAATTCACTGCCCAGCTGGACGTGAGCTGAGGCCGAGTTCCGCCAGAGCCGCAGCCAGGGACTCCATCTGCTGCTGCTTTCCCAGGCACCTTAGCAGGGGGATGGAACAGAAATGGCATTTGATGTGGAATGCCAGGACTGACACGCCACCAGTGAACACCAGATCCAGCGCCCCCTCACGTTGACTAGATTCGTACCTTCCTTTTTGCTTTTTCTAATCTGTTGCTTGCTAATTATTGCAATCTCCCTCCCCCTTATTAAATTTTTATGTAAGAGAAAGGGAGAGTTTCCATCTGCTTGTTCATTCCCCGCAAATGTCTGTAACAGCCAGGACTGAGCCAAGCCAAAGCCAGGACACCAGGACTCATCCAGGATCTCCTGGGCTGGTGGAAAGGACCCTGCCAGAGAACTACCAGGAAGCTGGAGAGAGGACCAAGCCTGAACTTGATCATGAGTGGATCTCTGTGCCAGATGACCACTGCAGCAGTCCTCTGATGGCTGAGGGTCCCGCTGGGCAAAGCCAACGGGATGAAATGCATCACTGGCATCACTAGGCATGGAGCAGCAGTGTGTTGTTCCTGGATATAGCATGAGTCATACAGGCAGCAAAGGGGAACCTCTCCCACCATCGGCATCTTTCAGTCCAGCAGAGGGGGTGAACTGAGAGCAGCCATCCTGAGCATTTTAATGTTGTCACAGGTGCTCAGCTCTCAGGCTGAAGAGACATTTTAGGCAGCTTAGTCTCAGTCTTAGCATGGGGAAGGCAGTCTTCCCACTGTGACTTGCTAAACTCAATGCTCAGCTGTGCTCAGTGCTTGCGTGCTCTGTGCTAATCACTGGAGTGTATTCAATATTGCCAGAATCAATTGTTGCTAACTTGTCACTCTTTTATGGAAGAATTTATGAGCCTGTAAGCCCTTAATGTTCCCATATATTCAACCCATACCTGTTTCACGTAATAGCTGAAGGGAGAGAATGTAGTAAGGAGACAGGTTGACCAAGAGTACCGACTTAGGGGATGCATCTGTGCTCTGCCGTTAGGGATATGAGGACTCAGAAGAAAAGTCGATTCTGTCACCATCAAACAGGAACAGTATGTTTGCAGTGCCTGACGAAGCACTTGGCACAAAGCACTCAGTCCAATGCAACTTCAGATACTGCTGTCTTTACCAACCATGTCTTGCAGGCTAATAATAATTTAGCTCAAGAAGAAAGTTAAGAAGCCAGCAGCTACTAGCAGTCTACCCCCATCCTACTATGCAAGAGAGAGAGACCTTAGGCACGAGCCTTGGGCAGTGAACTCGGGGAGATGATGCAGTACAGCTGCTCATTTGGGGGTCCAGAGCTCTGCTTCCGGTGATGGCTTACTGCTCCAGCCTTACACCTTGACAGTAAATCCCCCCACCTGTGCAGAATTCCAGCTTTTGTCTCCAAATGGTCACCTAGAGTAGTCCTGTCTGCTGACTGCCCTTAAAGGAGAGTGTGTTTTCAAAGGTGGTGGCCGAGGGCGGGAGGAGGGACCTGGGGACTTGCTCCTTCGTGTGGCAGTAGCCACGCTGGAGCACAGGCCTTGATCCCTGTCCTTGTCACCAGCGTCCTAAAGAGCAAAGGAAGTGCAGAGGGCTGCTGCACAGGCTGAGAGCCTGAGAAGGTTCTAGGCCATTCTGGGGGAATTGTAGAGCAGCTTTGCTGAGATCGAAACTTCATCACTAACATTTATTGAAATGTACGCCTTTGACTTCCAGACAATGCGATATGTGTGTTCAGGTGCAGCCCTGCTTTCTGCACTGCTGCTGCTCTGGAAGGAACACACTCGGTCCAGGCCCAGTACATTCCTCGTCAGGTGTTTGGGGATGCACCTGGTGTGTGGCCCACAGGGGCATCTCTGGAAGCCAGGGACAGTGGTACTTACCCTGAGAGTCTTGTTATAGCTAAGAGCCCAGTATGTACCTGAAAATTCCTTTCAGACCAAAACTTTCAGCCTGTCCAGGTGTTCTGTCCATCAAAGAGGGGCTGGGGTGGAGCAGACGCTTCCCACTCTCGCCTTGTTTTCCCATTTTGTCTTAACCATGGGCTGTTACTCTCACTTGGAGCACTCTGAAGGCCACAGACAAGTCACTTGCAGGAAGTTTGACATGAAGGAGTGGACAGTGTTACTGCCCTGGGACTGAAGAAACCCAGCAGCACTTGAGGCTTCCAAGAGGCAAGGACATTTATTTGTGCATATGGGCTTGACTAGACTCTTGTCCCAGGAGTCAAGCCCTATTCCATTTCCTTGGTCTTTCCTTATTTTTATATCCTAACCCTACAAGTTATGGTTACAAGGCAATTTCAGGAGGCACACAAATACAGGAACCAGTAAGTAGCAAGTAGTGGGTGGGTGTGGTCGCTGAAGCCACCAACGGCCTGTCCAAGCCAAACCGATCACCCTAGCCAAGGGACAAGTTTGAGTTTTGGAGTCTGTAACATAGAACCAATAAAAAGTCTTATGCACAAAGAATAAATAGGTAATTGTTGAGTGGCATTACATATTGTATTTTTCCTTGGTTAATTAAAAAAAAGTGAACTGTATCTAAGTGGTTAAATTTCATAATATTCCTCTCTCATCAAAGAGAAATTAGAGACAGCAACCACACTCTGCTTTTTGGCTAAACAGGGCCTTGTGGGTGTGAGCCTAGTGGCAATTGGTTCCCACCAAGCGCAGAGGGAGTGCTAGGGGGCTTCTGTGGGAGTGTCACCCTTGGGGCTTGGACAGCCGGGCCCTAGAAAACCTTGCATCAACCACCCTCCTTGCTTTCCCACTTTTCATGACGATCAGGGGTTTTCACGCACATTCTGCAGATTACAGCTTGAGTCTGTGTTGTCCTGGCCCAGGGTGGTGGGACTTTGTGTTCACCGCCACGCAGCAGAGGCTGCACTTCCTAGCAGGGACATTTCAGAAGGATTTCCTGTGGGACAAATCACCTCCAGGGCATTTTCTTTCCTTTGGATGTGAGTCTAAACCAGTACAAATGGTAAATTATATTTCTCCATTAAAAAAATGCTTATATAACAACTGGCTACAAGCACAACGACGAAAAGGATGTAAGTATTTATTTTCTGTCGCACCAAGTTAGGTTGATCTTGACCCTTAGACACGAATCATTGGTAAATCCTGGCATAGTCCCACTGTAAGCCCCACTAGAACCTAAAATAGAAGTCAACTTAAATCATGTTGAGCTTAGAAATCAGAGAGAATTGTAATGATATTTCATGGCAAAATAGTGAGATCCAAGTTCTCTCATCCCTTCAGCTCCTACTTCTCAACCGATATAACCAGATGCGGAAGGCACATCCTGTCATTTTGGCTGTACTTGTAAATCCCCCAAACTGTTTAAATGGCATCTTGTAAACAGTCTCCTGACAGTTCTGATACTGTGAGAGGCGCAATGACAATGTGGTTGAGGGCACAGTTGCTGAAGCCACTCCCTCCTGTGTGACATTCTTGGGCAATTACTCCGTTCTTCTGTTTCAGTTTCCTCATCCGTAATGTGATGGCCACAATTATGGAAGCTGCTTTGGGTTGTTCTAAGGATCAAGTATTCAGACACGTATATGTGTATAGCTCAGATGCGCATACATCATAGACATGCATACGTGCATACAATAAGATTTCCCAGAACACTTCCTGGCATAATAAACACTGAAGTGTTTGCTAATAATATTTTCTCTTTCAAAGAACATTTCTGCTAGGAAATGTTATGGACTGGCCACTTATCCTCTACATTAAAACTGAAACAGCAAGAGAGAAAATCCATCCATCTTAGCTAACTTTCCTTGAGAAGGGCCTGCTTTGGGAACTATTTATGGTTCTTGGAGATGGGATTTGATTTGATTTTTTTTCTTCCCTGAAGTCAGCCAAATGGATCTCTGTGGTCTGTCTGGATAACGGAAGGCTCCAAGTGTTTGGTTTTATTTCTTGGTCTTTGATGACTTTTTGGGCAGTGATGCAAAAAAGTATCAGCAACTCGCCCAATTGCTTGTAAATAAATATTCTGATGAGAAGCTTTTCTGCTTCTCTATTTCAAACTGAATCAAAAAAAAAAATCCTCTTGGTACTCAAGTTAAAGTGCTTCTAGAACATTCACTGTGGCTATCACGTAGTACCAAAGCTGCAAATACATTGACCATATGGCATGTAAGCATGAAGGGTTCAAATTCCATTGTTATCCTCAGTGTAGCCGTCATAGTATCCTGAAACACAAACCTAACAGTTGTCACCCATTTTGTGAATAAGAAACTAAGGCTGTTGTTTATAGTCAAAAGAATGTGCTAGGAATGTCATAACATCAGGGCTGCTTTAATTAGTCAAGTGATTGATCCAGAAGTTAAAGATGTTTCCAAATGCATCACTGTCTCTTTATCATTGCTCCTATTATTTTCAAACGAGTATGATCGTAAACTCGGGTCACAATTTAAAACTAGCAACATGTTAGGGCACCTCACTTATCCTTTCAACACTACAAAGGGCACTGTTTCCATGAAGGTGCTTTGTACTCACTCCATGATGGTCCGTGCATTGCTGAGCTTGTGGCTCCTAAATAATCACTAGGGACTCAGACAGCTGATGGCTTTGCTGACCAGGTACCCTTCATCAGTAACATCATACCCTGGTTCTTCTCTGCGGACCTATTCTCTTCCTGTCTGCCAACGGTGCTTTTAGCCAGCACCATCTCCACTTCCCTGGTCTACTGAGACCTCAAGGTATGGCTGGCCATCGGTGTGCCACCCTCAACTCTCCGTCATCGTGATTGGTTCAGAGGCAGGCACATTGCACCAATCAGATCCAATGAGACTCACATGCCCTTTGCTGGGCCTTCTGGGAATGAAACATTGTCCTCCCTCTTCTGGAGCAACCAGAGAGAACCGTTTGCTTTTCGTATGAGGCTGCTAGCAGAAAGTGAGATGCACCCAGCGTGACATTTGTGGAGCATAGCCCTCTGTGGATTCTGAGGGGAGACAGTGCTGGCAGACGGCCCGAAAAGACAGAGAAGCGTGAGACAAAGGGACGCGGAGAGAGCCATGGATGCAGCTTCGTTGCTAGTTCGTGGGAGAAGCTGCATCCATGGCTCTGGAGAGGTCAGTTATTGAGCCAACACGTTTCCTTTCATGTTTCAGTCTAGGTTGAGGCTCACGGTGCTTCTTGCATCCGCAGCCCTCAAAGGTAGATGAAATGGCTCCACATAGTGCTATCCCATGCCCACAAGTGCAACAGCACTGACTCAAAGCCAGGTGTCTGCCACCAGACAGGTAGAGGAGAAAGCAAGGGATAGCAAGGGACAGTAGTGGCGAGAAGAACAAGCCAACCATGGTACCCATTGGTTCTTGTTCAGGCATTCCAAAGACGGCCTCAATGAGCATCCCTGTTCTACCGCAGGAGTTCAGTGGTGCCCAGGTATCCGGGAATTTAAGGTTACAGGGGTCTTACAACCAGTTCATAAGGTGATTGAAAGTCTGCTAGTTAAAGAAGACACCAGCCCTTCAGGAAAGGTGCAGTCTTCCACTTTTTAAATACAGGTGCTTGTTTTCAATTAAGAGAGCGTCGATTTACTTAGCAAAGGAGACGTGAGTATAGTGTTTCCAGGTTAAAGAATGGGAAAAACTTCTCTTGAAAGAAGCACTATGCTTGATATATTTCCATTTTTGAGTCCTGTAGTAAATAGACAAATGAAAGGGCCACAATTAAATGCTGTCTGGATTTTAATGTTAGATCTGAGAAGTTTTCTACAATTTTGTTCTTTTTTTTTTTTTTTTTTTTGCAAATTATCATTCTGTTTCCATAAATAAAATTAAAAGCAGATAGGAAACCTGGAGTCAGGGCACCACTTCTATCTTAGCTAGAGAAAGAATCTTTCTTTGTCTGTTTTGAATTTGGAAAATCTATTTTTCTACATAATAGTGAAAAATTTAACAGTTCCTAAAGTCATAAACATTTACCTTAAATACAGCCCTGACATTTTCACCAGGACATTTGTACAAATAATGAATATGCATGCATGACTATTAAAATTAGAAAGATCATCAAACATTTAAATGGAAATGTAGCTTTATAAACAATAAATATCCAGGATATCAAAGTCACAAATTGATCATTATTCTGATTTCCACTCATTTTCCAGGTAAGACCTTTTCTATATAACTTATTATAGAAACCTTAGGAGTTAAGTAGAACTAATGTGACTTTAATTCTCAATGTTTTGCAGCATATTTTAGCTTATGTAAAGCAGTCGTTTGGCAAGAAATACACATTCCTCTGACTAGGTGTCCAATTGCCTTCTATTACAAAGTTAAGAAAGAATGTGATGAAAGAAACGGAAGCTAATCTAATTTCCAAAATAATCTTACAGTTTTAGCTTTGGGGCTTTGGTAGTAAGTGTCTGAATTTTAATATATATCCTATAACTTAAATATAATACTTATAAAATATAATTTCTTTTAGCCAAAACTCTATACAAAATACTGTCTTTACACATTTAAATGGTGCTTTTCTTTACAACGAATGGGAGTCCTTTGTATTCTCCTCTCGGCTTTTCCCCTGTGTGCAGGATCTCGGCTTCCCCCAGCATCTCAAAGCTGAGTTCTTAACAGTCAAAGCTGGTCAACAATAAACTATTTCGAAGAGCAAAAATGGCTGTACAACTTATGCAGATTTTTCTAGACAAATTCTCTGAGCTAAAGGCACTTAATAATGTACACTTTACATTTTGATCCTTTTGGTGTGCCATAAAACACCTCCAACACACTTTTGAGGGACATTGTGTCATTTAGGGAGAGCGTCTGCACACGTATACATAAGGAGACACTCTTCAATATCTTCTATCTATGCACAAACAAGCACGAGTTCTTTAATTAAAATACTGAGAGAATAAATGAGTTTCATTTTCTGCTAGAAGTGTCTTTATCGCATGACTACTGTATACCCATCGTTAGTAAGTTCCATCCCCTGAATTCCACAGTTGTGGCTCTTGGGCTGGAAATGGACTGAAGCATCAACCCAAGGGTTTTGGCTTGCACGTCAGAACCTACTCCCAAACCATCAAAAGATGGACACAAATCTTTTCAACTTTAGAATCCCAAGAAATTCACATGATCGATGTGTGATTAGATGTTGATCCGTCAAGGGCGAGGGGATTCCAATGCACGCGTCCACTCCGGCAGCCCTGCCCAGTGCGAGGTACTCACTGGTTTGCAGTCCATCTAATGTGGCTGAGTTCTGCCCAAGGATGAAAGGAAGGTTACTTACAAGTGTGGACATCAGTCATGCTTTCGCACCTCCTGCAGCGGACGTAGCAGCACCAGATAAACTTACACTCACACCTCTCCACGTGTCTAACCACATGGGTGTTGTAGCCTCGGCCACAGCATAAGAGCTTGCAGCCATCTGCACCCTCCGAGGTGCGGTTGCATTCTCTGCCTTGAGTTCCTGGGATGCCCAGCTTCTTGTCCTCCACACAGTAGTTGGGAGACTTATTGATGTAGAGTAGATCTTCCTTGTGAGTCGGTATTTTCCTCTGATCTTTTTCTCTCCGGCGCATTTTCTTCTTTATTTTCTCTGAGATCTGGATGCTGTTTTCATATTTATCCTTCAACAAATGACCAATCTTTTCAAAAGAAGACATGGTTTTCCAGCATGTTTTCACAGCGCAGGAGCCAGAAACTCCGTGGCAGCGGCAGTCTACTGACATCAACTTGGCAACAGCCTGAAACCAACAGTAATTGGGTTCAAATATCATTCACCACGTATTTGATTCAGTGATGGACACAGTTAACCTAACCACTCAACTTCCTGGGTGTGTTTCCTCCAATGGACACAAAGGATTTAGGGGATGGTGTTGTGTTTAGCTGTTGTGCTTTGGCTTTGTCCCAAATGTTCTCTTCACACATCAAAACCCTGCAGATGAAACTTTCTCTGGGCTGCATTTAATGTAATATGTTTGGCAAACTGTTAATCAGAGATGGTTTGTGTTAACAAGAATTATTTTTCTGATTCCTCATTTCCTTTTGGATGTAGATGGATGCTCCTGGGTTCCTGTGTCTTCCTGAGACACACCTTGCCACTCAACATAGGGTTCATTAACTAGCAACACTGGTGTACCTTGTGAGAAATATAGACACGGAAACCCCATCACAGGCATGCATCTTCAATAGCATCATTCAGACCTCAGTGTGACATTTACACACCTGACAATTTGAGAAGCACTCAAAGAACAGCTCGTTTTGTCTCTCTTAGTATGTGGGAGCATCCGTGGAACTTAACAGATACACGAGATCCCAAGCCCTGAGATTGGCCTTGATTGGCTGGGATGGGGTCTAGGCAATGGTGACTTTCACCAAAACACTCAGATGAGTCTAATGGCATCCAAGAAAGACACTTGCTGATCTGACAGAAAGCTGGCAAGTTTGATGACGAGAAAAATCAATTTGATTGATGGAGTTTGGGCAAATGAGAAACCCTCACCAATCAAGGAAAGTTAGTCAAAAGGAGAGAGAGCTGGAGATTGTGGTTGCTGTCAGAAAAATCTTCCCCTCTTCTGGAAAATGAATTCAAAACATATGCCCTGTTTTGGATTCATCAGTGGCACTATTCTAACACAGAGGATAAGTGCTGAATTTAGTTTTTACGGACTGAGGAATTAAATGAGATTACATACATTTGTAATAGTCAGATATCTAGCACCTAGGAAGGTCTAAAATACCCTCTTTGTCTGAAGGCGAACATATTGTACGGGCTAAAAGATTTCCAAGGGAGCAAACAGCCCAGAAACCACACCGAGATGTGAAAAGCTTCAGGCTTAATCTCTTACATGCTAGGCTAGCCAGCATGGCTTCCTTCAAGCCCCCGCTCGGGAAGAGGCGATTCATCAATCGTCAGGGCTAGCCGGAGAGCTGACATTCTGTCAACATGCTGGGGAAAATGAAAAATGGATCCATGCATTCAATAACTTGGAAATTATGTGTGTAATCTCACCAAAGAAAGGGAAAGCTTCCAGCTTGAATTCCACTTACAATTCTTATCAAAGCTGTAAAGTGACAAGAACCTATTCAACTTCTTACCGATCCGGACATTGACATGCTTGCCACATATTACATTTCTAATGAATTCACAAAATTGTATGAAATTTCTATTGAGATGGAATACCTCGAACAATTGATAATATTTGTAGTCTTAAATGAGAGCAGAGGGTATTGAGTCAGGCAATGTCTGTTACTTCTTAGTGATGTTTAAAATAATAAACAGGATATCAAAACCTTGTCCTTTATAAATTACGGCACACAGGCTCTTTCTAAATTCACAAAGCTGAGAAGCTAATTCATGTATCTATTTCTCGTTAATTCAAGGCAAACGGTACCAGCCAAGGACCACAGAACAATTCACAAAGCAAGGCATAAAGGCTGGTTGGTTGCATTTACTGCATTTGATAGTCACTCAATTCTTCAGAATGGTTCTGGGCAAATAAATATTCACACTACGCAACCTGCCTAGTTTTGTTCAGATTTTAAGTTTCCTAAAGAACAAAACAAAGATGGCACAATCAGACGATAATAAGTAAGATAGTCTAAAAAAAAGCTTATAAAAAGCCGAAATAAAGGATTGCTTGCTCATGTTTAAATTTAATGTGTTTAAATGTGTCAAAGATCTTTCTGTCACCAATTAGTGATTTAAAGTCGCCTGTTTTTCTGGATCATGACTGAGAAGCCGACTTCTTCTTTCCTAGTTTGGACATCACTCATGTGTTGCCTATTTGCCAAGCCTGGAGGACAGAGTAGATGCTGAAGGAGTGTTTATTCAATAATTAGTCCAATTCACCCTAACGGTTTTAACTCAGTCTTTGTTGGTCACTCGATCGAGAAGAAGTGGTAAAAATCACCTTTTAAAAAGTGACTGACAGAGGGTCAATGCGCTGGGAGACCCTGCGGCAGCCAGAAGTGCGTGCATTCCACCGCCTCAGCCCAGACTCAGCAATGCAGTCCACAAAAGTGACACACAGCTTCACAGGCTTAAAGGGGAGAGAGCTGATTTTCAAGTGCAATTGTACTGCCTACTGAATTTGTACCAGAACTGTGGGAAGATTTCACTAAGTCTGGAAAAAACAACCCTTTAAAAAAAATACATAGCATTCAGAATTTACCAATGACGATATTTTTGAAGGCTTATTCTAGGTCTATAAATTATAAGTGGCCCTAACCAACACACACAGCAATAATATTACGTATTATAGATATAATTTTGATTTAGACCGGAAAGGAAAAATAACGAACTTCAAGGAAAAGAATTCAGATTCTTGACACACAGTTTCACCATTTATATTACGTCCCCAGAATTCTCCAAGGGAAAGAGAATGAACAATTAGGAAATAAAATGATCGCCCATGTAATCACCCTTAAGATAAGTTCACGAAAAACAAAGTTCAAGGGCAGTTCTCTCTCTCCCATTCCCTCCCCTCACTTTAAGTTATATAAAATTTAGTACATCTCTGAGCAAATTTTCGCAGTTGTTTTATGCAGTTTAACGTTTAGGAAGAAATGCCATGTACATAGTACATAGTGAACAAGAACTTACTTAAGATTCCAATTTTACAGAAAAATAAACAGTGTGGTTAAGACACTTGTCTTACATAGGAAAGTGGGTGATATATGATATAAGATCTTTACATACAGCAGGGTAATTTTAGCAGAACAGGGAAAAATGAAAGTGGAAAATGCAAGTATATTTAAGGAAATTGCATGAACACTCAAGAAGAAAGGCAGAGGAGGACTGGTCCTCCCGCAGCCCGAGCTTTTCTGCCAGGGTTGCTAATCGAAGTTAAAAAGCCGTTACGAGATGCAGGGATGCACCCTCCACTCATAGAAAAGTAAGAGAATAGCAACCATATAAATCGTGTGTGGTTATGAGAAAATTCCTTTCTCTACTCTAGTTGAGTTAAGGTTTATAACGATATTAACAGAGGAATGTTTTGTTAACTATTGCAAACAGATGTGCGCATTTTGGTAGAATATTTCTGAACTAGGCGAGAGCAATTAGGAGGGTAGTATTTAATGTACTGGGCTTTGTGTGTAAGTTTTGGTTTGATACATTTCTAATGAAACGCAATAGGAAAGATGTATTACTAATACTTGATGTAAAAAGAGAAACTGCTTAAGCAGTGGTTTAAGAACTGGTTAATCTTACCGTTCGGACTCGGAGGTAATACAGCAGGCAGTGATTATTTTCCAGTATATGGCTTTATCCAAACTTTGCAGAAATAGACAGAAAATTGTTGTGGAATATTTTGTGACTAACATTTCATTTTGCCAACGATCAAACGATTTAAGTTTTCATGAAAATTGTGACATAAGCTTGGCTGTGTATATGTAGGGTTCCTATTCCCCTGGCCTATTTTGTCCCATTCTGTCCAAAAAAATATATTTGAACCTGCTGCAAAGCAAGACACGTATGTGTTGAACAACTATTTATAAATATTCTTCCAACAGGTCAATGAAAATTTTGGGTCAGCCTTTCCTACTTTGTTGAGTTACTCATCATAAAACAAATTATGGGGTAGGAAAACTTAAAAGTTTATGAGGTGGACCTGGTAAGAATGGAAATATTTTAAGCACACCAAAAGAAATACCCATAAATATTCCAAGTCACATTATTCCCAGAAGTTCTGCCCCTGGAAGACATCACATCATTCTGTTAGCCAATCACCAACCGGCAACATTATTCTTGGAGTCATAACTTAAGGAATGGTGTCAGAAACCAAGTGGGAATCGGAGTATTTAAGGTCAGCGGTTAGAAAGTCATAGGCTCTACTCCCAGCACCACTAAGCGCCAGTACCCACACTTCTCTGACTGCGTTCCTGCATTTTGCATTTGGGATTTTGAGACCAGGAGAATCAACTCAATTGAACGCAGCTCTTGAACTTTACTTACAAGAATATGCCAATCAAGGTTCCAATTGTCAATGTTAAGAATGAAGTAGATTGCTGTTCGTTGTCAGATGATAACTTAGAAATCTGGGGTTTATTTTTTTTTTTTGCCCACCAAAGAGGAAAAAAAGTACAAAAATGTTTTGAATTATAATACTGCATGAAAAAGACCAACAAAAATACCAGGGTAGTGTTGCTCCCAAAATAACCAGGTAAATATTTTGCAATATTTTAAAATTCCATTTAGAACAATGTGGGGAAAAAAATTCAGTGCAGCAAGCTGAACTTGATGGAAAAGTTGTATTATTCATGATGTGAATTATTTTCTGCCTAATTAGGATTACAGTAGGAATCTGGGTAATGTGAAGAAATTGTTCTTTTTCTTTCTCCCCAAACAATAAGCGAATTAAAGTTGTTGCTGAAGAGCTGTATATTTTTTTAAACACACTTGGACTATAAAAAAAAGAGATGAACATTAACAACGATGGACAAACGTCACTGCCTAATCTAAAAAGCTAAAAACTCTGATGCTACTTACAGAAATATATTTAAAATGCTTCAGGACTTCCCATAACTTTAGTGATCACTTCGTTGAAGAGAAATAATCTGAAATTTTAAGTTTTGATTCTCTCTTATTTTTTAATCTCAAATAATTTTTTAAAGGATGCCTAAAGAAGATTTCAGATCTATGCTAATAAAAAGAGTGGATTTATTTGTTTTTCTTTAATGTAGAAATTTGACCTGATGGCTTTCCTTTGGTTTATTTTAAAGAACACATATTAGTTGCAGTTTGCCTCTTATTTTAATATATCATAAATAATAATATCATAACATAAATAATAATATAAATAATAAAAGTTCATTAATTGGATAAATGATAATTGAGGCAACACCTGGTTTATTCATTCATTTTTAATGTAAAATTTTTAACAAGAAGAGACATAGATATAACTGTGTGTTAGGCAAGACTTATTTTAGTGAGATAAAAGAAATTTTTGATATTTCCAAACAAAAATACAAAAAAGTTATACAAGTATTTAACTGAGTTCCTGTGTCATTTTGCTATTCTGAATTGAACATTCAAAAGAACTAAAAATTCAGCTTGAATGGCCTACAGTGATGTACTTACAGAGGTTATTTTATTTTATTTATTTTACTTTATTTTATTTGCTTAAACCAAGATAGTTAAGGAAAGAAAACTGGCTAAAACTTGCAATTTTTCTCATTGAGTTCCATGTATGTACTTTGTAAAAATATAAGTCAAAGGCGACATACATTTTAAATATTCCTAAGACATATGGCACCTTATTTTACTTTAGTGCAGAAGAGTGTGGCAAATTTCAGTTACCATATTGGGATATTTCTGGTTTATGGCTATTAACAACAATATATCAGATGTGCTGAAATGATTATCCCGTAATTTTATGACAACATAGAAAGTATATATTCATCAAAAGTTTCTACTGTTTTAGGAAAGTTACCGTGGATTACTGAAAAATCGAGCTATGTTGTAGAATGCATATTCAACTAAGTCAGTGTTCATTAATGTAAATATGGAAAAATTAAATAGAGTAATATATACACTTATTTTCAAAAGGCAGTGTAAAAAATTGGAATTCATAAAAGAGATTAATTATGGGTGGTTCTTCAAATTCACCTCTACTTAATCTTTAAAATGTTGTTATTTATAATTCCCATTTATTTAGTATGTGTACAGTTATACTTATCTGTAATTTATGAATTTTAACATTAACTTATATTTGCTTTATAACAGAATAATAATTTTCCTCTTTTAAAAAACATTGTTTTACAAAATATTAGTTAAAGATTGTATTTTCCTGAAAAATAGTTGTTGGAGCAAGTAAAGAAAAACTGACAGGGGCCTTTGCCCACTATGACCACAGAATCAAAATCCAGATTTGGATAAATAAAAATTTAACGAAGATTCACTGGAATGTCACATATTGTGGCTTTTGTCTGTTTTTTTCCACTAACTAGCTAAGAGAGCAGAACCAAGCAATCCAACAGGCACTTGCGTATCAACTGTGCTAGAATTCACATACAAGAGCCACAGCATATGCGTATTTTATGATGTGATGCACCCTGCCCCAGGTGGAGACTCTGAACTAAAGCCATGTGTTCTGCACGTGCTCATGAAGAGACGCATATCCACTGATAGACGTTGGACTTCAAAATATTCTTTCAAAATGAGAAGACAATTTTACCTTATTTCCATAAGTGGAATTTATGCTTTTTTGTAATCTGCCTTTTTATTTTTGAGTACTTCTTGTATTGCATGGATTTCCTTTTTGATACAAAATAAATGTCTTTTAATTATTTTTTCCACAAACTTTTTGAAGCAGCCGTGCGTGTGTGTGTGTGAGTGTGTTTGAGAGACAGGCTGCCAGTGCTCAACTTTTGACAGATCGATGCAGAACATAATTTGAGTGTTATTTACCTACAGACTAGATTTGGTTTCTGTTTGCTCACACATACCTGCCTCCCGGCTTCGTTGTTGTGCAGGTTCATGGCAAGGAGGACCTTGTCGTCCTTTGACGTGGTGTTTCCGATGGGGAAGTCCAGGAACCTCCTGCTGAACCACATGCCATACTGCACATCATCCGAGCAGCCCCCCCAGTGCCAGCCCTCACTTGCCGACCCTCCGTTCTGCAAGGTGCTGTCGCAGGAGCACTCTGTCATGTTGCCTGCGCTGCAGGACCTGGTCACGGCGTGCACCAGGCCCGCAGCCATCACGGCGTAAATAAACGCTGTCTCCTTGGTGCCTAGAATAAAACACAGGTTGTTAATTAGGGCGCTGACACTGTCCATGTACTTCAAAACAAAGACCCCTGTTCATCCTCTTACCGGGCAAGCAATTTTTCATTCTCTGACAGGAGATGCTTTAACAAGTGCATGTTTAGAAGAAAACAGTTCCTACTGCTCCAGCCTTTAGGAAAGCAACACTAATTACAGTATCCTGCCTGAGAGCTTGGCCAGAAGTCGTATGTCTTATGTTGTCTTCATACTTTAAAATTATCGGTGTGCTCTCTAAGTGTGAAATGTCGGCACCTAGGCAGAGCTTAACAGGCAGCCCCAAGTCAACAAAACAGGACGACTTTAAAATCCTTTGCATGGACGAATAATGAATGGCAGTACAGCATCCAAAGCAAAGCCGGCTGCCATCCCTGTTAGATGTAACATGTACCCCCGCAACACACAGCCGGACAGCTTACGATTTGGTGTATGCGTACATAAACAATACGGATCAGAAGGTAAATTAAAATTAAGCATCGACTAGAGCAGTTAGCTAATAACCGTTAGTTTACTTTCACATTAATGAGTAATTATTTTTAAAAGAGCACCGTGAATAACAACCACTGGCATTGTGTGAGAGTTAAATACTTTATACAGTACTAGCTAATCCTCTAAGAGCCTTAAAGGCAATGAAAGATAATACGACTCAAATGTCATTACCAAGAAAGTGTCTAATATCGAAACAGATGGATTGGCCACACCTGCAGTAGCGTTTGCGCTGAGGTCTTTACGACTGAAGGTTCCAGGGAAACATGAATGCAGTGGACTAGAAGGGACTCCGCAGGCAGCTTTTTTTCCATTTGCTGATGTTTAGATTGGAATAGAAACAACGTGACGCCCGTTGCCCAATAAACCCTTCGACAGCTGATGCTTCTGCGTTTCAGCAACTGCGACAAGCAACACTTTCTTTCTCCTTTTTCTTTTTCGCTTTGGGAGCCAGGGATCCTTGGGGAGCCTGCGCGGTCAGATTCTGCTAAGGCAGCTCAGTGGGTTGGGAACTAAGCGGGGCAGGATCAGAGGCAGGGGAGAGAGGAAAGCCAAGTGGAATAGGAGCTCACAGTGCGTGGAGTGCAAAGCGAGTACTCCGGACCTGCCGATTTCATTGGATCGACGGTGGTTCCCTGCAACCTTTTGTCCCGACCTGGCTACCACGCACGTGGAGGCAGAACTTAGTTTGACTGCAGCTCGCGCACCGCGGCATGTCCGAGGCTCGGACCAGGAGGAAGGGATGGAATTTCCAGGAGCCGCGCTCGCCCTACGCGGCAATGGGTTCTCCGGGACAGTGCCTTGAAAGCCACCCCGATCTCGCGAACCCGGTGCTCAGAGCAGCCAGTGCACGTGGAGCTCGGCTGCCAGGGGCCCCTGGTCCAGGGCTCAGTGCGCAGCGGAACCGGCTAAATCAAAGCAGATGCGGCTGCAGCATTCCTCTCGGCCTGCTTCATGTTTCTCCAGCTGGTCACTCACATAGGGGGGCGCTCCGGGGTTCGAGGGGGTCGTCGGGGCCAGGCGCCGGGGGAAGGAGGAAGAACCACAGTCTCCTTCCGTCCTGTTCCAAACCTGGGGAGCCATCTCTCTCCACCCCGCCTCCAGACCGCACCTGCGCCCCAGCGTCTGGCCGAGGGCCCCCGGGTTTCCCCCGCTCGCAAAAGCCTCTTTAGGAGTTTCAGCTGGGGGCCTCCCCGGCGCTACCTTTTTGGGCGGAGGCTTGTTCGCTTTCCAACCCCGCGGACCCAGAAGGTCAGAGGACTCACCACTGCTCAGCTCGTAGCCGAAGAGGGGGCCCTGGTCGAGCGGCGCAGCGGCCGGGGCGGCGACCCTGCAGTTCCAGCGCTCGTGGCGGAACTGGCTCCTGCACTCCTGGATGCCCAGGCGCGCGCCCTCGCGGATGCTCGGCAGCAGGTACGGTTTCCTCTTGCACAGCTCCTTCTGGCGGCTGCTCAGCGGCAAGTTGGCGCAGCCCAGCTTCTCCGGGACGCCAAAGGAGGCGATGCCCAACCACCTGTGAGAGACACAGCCTCCTCCAGCGTAAGCCGCTCCTTGCTCTTCCTCAATCTCAGAGGCTTTCATGAAAATCGGGTCCCCCGCCCTAAGTGTCCGCGTCGCTCCTCCTCCCCTACCCCCCAGCCTTAGTTGAAAGTTGCTTCGAGCTGGGGGTCACCCCTTATACCGCGCGTCGTGCCTAAGCCCAGATACTCACATCCAGCTTCCTTGAGCTCCACAGGGAAACAGTGTAAGCAGGGCTGCCCACAGCGCGCACAGGCGGGGCAGTCCCAGGAGCATCGCTCGGTCCATGGTCCCCGCATGGAGTCCCCCAGCACCAGCCACTCCTTTGGACACAGCTGGTGGTCAGTCCTAGAGCACCAAATTGTCCCTCGCCCTGCTTCTCCTTGCATACAGCATAAAAAGAAGCTATGACAAGGGTCCCTCAGCAACCTCCCTCTGGTTTGCCGGGAAGCGTCTAAGAGTGGAGAAGGGAGCAAGGAGCTTGCGAGCCTACTTGCTGCTTGGAGTTGGGAGTTGCCGGAGATGCGCCAGCGTCCCTAGCACTCCAAGGTGGGAAACTTGTACAGCTGTCTCCATCGCCCCTGGCCTCTCCTCCCATCTCCTCCCCCTGGCCGTGCCTGGCCCCTGATTGGCCCAATGGAAGTCCCGAATCTTATTGTGCCGGGACCTCAGGCTCCCATTGGCTGTGACCGAGTTTTTCAGGGGGCGCCGCGGGCTCGCGCCTCCCAGACGGTCGGTCCCGACCTATGGGTGTGCCATGACCTTTCCGCCTATCACAGTCTCTAGGGAGCGGGTGGGTGTGGAACGGATTTCACGCCGAGAAGGAAGGGGATGGCCCTGCCTTCAGGTTCTCCGGGTATGGGGGCGGGGAGTGGTGGGAGTGGGAAGCGTGGTTTTGCTGGGAGACGTTGGAGTCCCAGCCTCCTCAGGCACATCTGGATGGAATGGCAGACATTTCTTGGCTGTCTTTTCCTTCTGTTTTGCACCTAATGGGAGAATCACATTTTTTTTGGTCCTAAACAATTGTTTGAAGTCTTAGTTGCCCCAGAATTTAAAAGGATGAGTGAGACACTGTTTGGATTTTGTTACTTGTCATCAACGTACTCGTTTATGTTTTAGCCTAGTGCTAAATCCATCCTCTTTAAATTGTGTCCCTGATTTCCGGTTCCTTGCCTTTGTGACTCTGCAGGCCTGAGCCACGCAGTCCTCAGCAGACCGTGGAGCGCAGATCACGTGAGAGCTCGTTGCCTCCCCTGGAATTGTTCAGTGCTTTTATGTCCCTTCCTTCCTGTCCCACCTATTGGCTTTCCAAGAGACCTTGGACAGATCTTCTCCACGAAGATGACATTTAAGCAAAAGTGTTTTCCGCATCCATTTGTCCCCAAGGGCTGCGGGACTTGACAGTTTCCAAGCAGGAGATCTTGGGACAGATGGTTGGTCAGGAAGGCTTGTTAATCAGATGGTCTCCTGGAGAGTTCTGAAGGTCCAGGAACAGGCTTAGCTAGACTGTCAGAAAGCCCTGCCTCTCCTGGTTAGATATAAGAAATGTGAGAAGCTCCTCAAAAGAACCGAAAAGTTAATCAATTCTCCAAGTAGGCATAACAGTCAGTGGGTTAATCGACTGACTTAAATAAAAGCTTTGATATCTTTTGTTGTCCATCTTTGTCATCCCAGCAATAAAAGCTCATTGAAATTCTTATCCTCTTCTATTCATTCCTTTGTCCAACAAATATGTATTGCGTGCACACAATGTACCAGGTCCCAAAGCCACATTATAATTTTTTTGAGTCAAGTTGATGATAGGGTATAGTTACTCATCCAGAAATATTTTGGCTAATGGCTAGTGATCTCTCTGCCAATCAGAGCCTTCATCGAAGCTGTTTTATGAACGTCTCCGAGCAGAACCACGGCATGTCCATTGCTGCACCCCTACCGGACCTAGCACAGCAGTTCCTGGTTTTGAACACAATTGACAAAGTAGAATAAGAGCATGAAGAGCATCCTTCACAGACATCTAGTGGTCTAAATACTGCTACTGAAGCAGTTAATTCCTTTGGAGGGGAATTGCTGCTGGCGGGGGAGGAGATGGGTGTGGAATTCTTGGGATAAGGAAGAGAGCTGCAGAACAGCAACACTTGAAGGTGGCTTGAAGGCTAACAGTGCTAGATGTTTTAAGAAAAGGGGGTTTTTTAACCCCTCATTCAAATACATGGATTAAAATCTGTTCCAAATTAAAAAGTGGGGTTAGCACTGAATCTAAAGACTGCGGCGTTCACAGTCTACTTGACATAGCAGAAAAATGAGCAGGCATCTCAGTACAGTGTATACCGTGAGAGTTACATGAGGGCTGATGGAGGAGCCATGCGCGTGTCATTGCATCAATCCTTTGGGCACGTCACGGTCCAGGCAGACAGAACCGGGCTGTAAGGAAGCATGCAGAGAATGGCCATTCTTAGAGTTTAAGAACCCTGAGACAAGTACTTGTACATCCAAGACAGGATTCAGTGAGCAGTCTTTGGTGTGGTCTATGACCTTAGGGGTCATCCCATCCCCTCTCACTCCACATACACAGAATATCAGCACCTCAACCGCTGATACAGATTTTGCAGATAAGAAGAGTGATTTGGAGAAATTAGGAAGTTTACTCCAAGGTCACTCACTCAGCTAGTGGGAAGTAGAATTAGAAAACAAGTCTTGTTTTTGGATATCTCTTCTTTCCATCACCACGTACTGGTGCATAACCTAGTTCAAAATCATTACTTAAGTTTTTCCTGACCACATACCAAAACACTGCACCTTGGGGTCTACATTTCTCACTTCTTTGCTGTAGTTCCTTACATCACACTTCCCGGAGTGTCCCATGTGAAAGCTGCTCTGTTCTCTGAACATAAACAAAGCATTCCCTGGTAAGTGGCCCAAGGAGGCCTCAGGAAGCAGGTCCCTCTGGGTGGGTGGCAGACTGAAGGCCTGCCTTTCTGAGTGCTTTTTCTTTGCTGTCTGTGGGTTTTTTGAGCAACAAAGAGCGACAGAAGGAGCACTGGTGTGATTGGGCAACGAGGGAGCTAGTTAATGGTGATTCTATTGAGTAGCAACTCACTCAACCTGGAGCCCTGCTATGCTAACCTACAGAGTTATGGAAAACTCTCTTTCTGGTTTGAGTCAGTTTCTGGATATTTCCTAGGACTAGAAGAAAGAGACAGGTGTATGTGTGTGTGTATGTGAGAGAGGGAGAGAGAGAGAAGGAGGGAGAGGAAGAGAGAAAGAGAGAAAGAGAGAGAGCAAGCACACACTCCATTTTCTTTTATTTTAAAAAAATATTTATTTATTCATATTTAAAAGGCAAATTTTACAAAGAGAAGGAGAGAAAAAGGTTGTCTATCCGTTGGTTCACTCCTCAATTGGAAGAGCTGAGCCCATCAGAAGCCAGGAACCAAGAGTTTGTTCTGGGTCTCCCATGTGGGTGCAAGGGTCCGAGGACTTGAGCTGTCTTCTACAAAACAAACAAACAAACAAACAAACAAACAAACAAACAAAACTATCTTCCTTAGAAGCAGGGAATTGGATGGGAAGTGGAACAGCCGGGATTCGAACCAATGCTTTTATGGGATACTTGCACTAAAGGCAGAGACACAGCTTACTACATCATGTTGCAAGCCCCTGAGAACTGCATTTTTCCACAGATTTTAGAAAGAAACAGCCTTTGCCATTGAACTTGTTGACCTGAAAGATGAGTCCATGTGTCCCCAAGAGAGATCACAGGCTGGGATTTTGGTCCACATCTTGTCTATTGTGCCATGATTTTATTTTGGATATTGTGGAACATGAAGCATTTATATTTGTAGTATTCTCTTATTTTAAAAGTTTTTTTTGTTTTGTTTTAAACTTTTATTTATTTGAAAGGAAAGTTATGGAGACAGAAGGAGAGACAGGAATGAGAAAGATCTTCCGTCTGCTGATTCAGTGTCCAAATGCTGACAATAGCCACAGTGAGGCTAACAAAGCCAGTAGCCAGAACTACAGCCCAGTCTTCTAAGTAGCAGCCCAAGTACTTGGGTCGTCATCTGTCACCTGTTAAGTGTGTTAGAAAGCAGCTGGATCACAAGGAGAGGTAGGACTGGGTCCCGGGTATTTTGCTATGATATACTTAGCAGGTTTCCCAAGTCTGCTGTCCCATAACCCACTCCTGTAGAAATCTTTCCAAATTAAGTTTTAAGACAGGCAATAATCTCTTCAAGTGAAACTCTTTTTAAAGAGGAAATTCCAGATATTTTATTTATCCTGGAATAAAAAAAATGATGAGTGCACAATCTGTTTTGTGTTTGTTAATATAAAGTAGTTCAGTTTTGTCATTAATGCGTGCTAAAGGGTTCTATTTAGATTCAAGGCATAGAGGGGAAAAAAAGGATTAAATTCAATCATGTACTTAACTACATACTTCAAATAGTTTCTTTAGCAGCAAGCAGGCTCATCATTTGCTTTTTTATGATTCTTGGTTTTATAATTTGAAGGAGAGAATAAAAAGTTAACTAACCAATAAAATATGCCTAGTGCTATGCAAGCTTTCTAAGCTTCTGGTACCCATATCTGTAAAATGTTGTAAAGATCAAAGTATTGTTTCCCCAGGAAATGGGAACAAATATTATGATCTGAGCCCAGGCTAAAAGTTGGTTAGTGATGTTAAGAATAACACTGTGTGGGGCCAGAATTGTGGCATAGCGGATATAGCTGCTTACTGAGACCCCAGAATCCTATATAGTCCTGATTCATGAGCCACTGCTCTGCTTGCAATCAGTTCTCTGCTAATGAATGGCCTGACAAACGCAGTAGAAATGACTAAGTGTTTTTGACCTTGCCACCCATGTGGGAGGCCTGAGAAACTCCTGGTCTAGTTCTGGCCTTTTCAGCCTTCTGGGGAGTGAATCTACAGATGAAAGTCTCTCTCTCTCTCTCTCTCTCTCTCTCTCTCTCTCTCTCTCTCTCTCGCCCTCTCTCTTTCTCAACTCTGACTTTCAAATAAGTAAATGTTTTTAAAAGTAGAAAAAAAACCCCAGAAAATAGCATCTTGCAACTTCAAGTTTGCATTGATTAACCAAAACATCCAGTTACTTGATCCTACAAAGAGGGTGTATACTTCAACTTGTTTTCCTAGCAGGGGGTGAGGTGTTCTGAGCTCTATTCTTGGAAGGGGACTTAGGAGGAGAAGAACCAGATTTCAAGCAGATACACTGAACTCAAACCAGCTCTCCTAAGAGACTGAGTCTGCAACTGTGGTTGCTTCTGACCCACTGAGCCAACTGGAGCAGATATGCTGGCTAGCAA